TCCAAATTCCATTCCTTACAACTATGGAGAGATTGGAGCAAAATTCAAATGTGCACCTGAGCAACAAAACTTCCTCTGATATGCCTCTGATATGTCATTAATTTTTTAAAATGCTGTGGGTTATGCCAAACCATTAATGTGAAAATAGTATCAGAATTGCAAAGCATTTCATGTATTTGAAGGATTCAACAGAATCCTTTTAAAGACTGTGCCAGAAAAGCAAAGCTTATGTGAAAAGCCCTTAAACATGTTGCTCAGAGGGTAAACATCCCAATTTCTTTATGTTATTCCAAAGTACTAAAAAGGGAACCTTTCCATGCAAGTGTTATCTGCACATTCCCCTTTTACCAATTAAGAAGCAGAAAGCACCACAAAAGGGGGACATAAACCTGTCAGAAAGGAGGTGATGAGGAATTTGAGAAAGCATCATAGAATGGCCTTATCTTTATAGAGTCTTATTTTCAATGCATGTTGTACAGGGAACACAAGAAAAGCAGAGGAGGAATTAATTCTGTGGGATCCCTTTGGGGCACATATCTTCAGTGCGCTCTCTAGACACAGAAACAAGTCCCTTGGCAAAGAGTTTTTTTGGAGGAGGAGGGGAGAATCGTATACAACAGAGAGATCAAGATATTTCAGCTATATAACAAGATTTAATGTCTGCTACAAGAGCAGCAGCAGCAGCATCTTTTGTAAGAACAATCTGTTTCTCACCCTGGGAAAGCTGTTGGTGGGATTATTTACTGGAACAGACTGAGGCTCATTCCTGTATCAATTGATCTCAAGTAATTTGCAAACTAGACTGAAGCACTACAGGAATCTTTATGGATTCTGTTTCTTCTTTGTAAAATTCAGCAGGCAGCCTCATGTAGGATGCAACCAAGCTATCTTATATGAGCAGTAATTCTCCCCACTCACCACTCCAAAGGTTAAGGCTCAGGAGAAAAAATATATAATAATATTAATAACATGGCGGATGCACTAGCACATGCATACAAAGATAAGGAGAGAACCAAAATTCCTTCAAACAGCTGAAACTTACTTATGAACCATCAATGCAATACATATACATATATACATATACATATACATATATATATATTTAAAACTTTTATATCCCAATCTTCTCTACCTCCGTAGAGGGACTCAGACCGGCTGACAGCAAGGATTCAATGCTAACAGTAAAAATCTAAAAACATCATATATCAACAATAAATTAACAAATATATATAAGATAAATTACATGAAAGCCGTTCGCCAAGGTAAAAACATGTCCAACTCAGTCCGTATATTCAGTCCATATATTGTGGTCAATAACTTTGGTCAAATTACCGGTCTCACTCATCATTCTGCAAAGGCCTCGTTCCACAACCAGGTTTTCACTAGCTTTCTAAAGGTCAGGAGGGAGGGAGCAGATCTAATTTCATTTGGGAGTGAATTCCCTAGTCGGGGGGCCACCACAGAAAAATACATACATACATACATACATACACACACACACAGGGTTAAACTGCTGTGGCATATAGGGTTAAACTGCTGAATTTGCTGACTGAAAGGTCGACAGTTTGAATCTGGAGAGTGGAGTGAGCTTCCGGTGTTAGCCCCATTTCTCCCAACCTAGCAGATTGAAAACATGCATATGTGAGTAGATCAATAGGTACCACTTCTGTGGGAAGGTAACGGCGCTCCATGCAGTCATGCTGGCCACATGACCTTGGAGGCCTCTACGGACACTGCCGGTTCTTCGACTTAGGAATGGAGAAAAGTGCCATCCCCCAGAGTTGGACTCGACTAGACTCAATGTCAAGGGGAAACCTTCACCTTTACTTATTCAAAATTTATGTTTTGAAACATTTCAAAAATAGAGACATTCTATTTTTGAAGGGTAGTCAGTATGTAAACCTATCCAAAGCTGGCACATAAGTGGCACAGTGAAATGACTCACTCAGCCTTGAGATAGCATGGGTCACAGAGGGCTCTGGGATATTCAGAAGGATCCCTATTCATTCATCATGTCTTTCTCTTACTAAACTGAGCTTCTGCAACCCTGCTGTATATTTTACATTCACCTTGAATGTCGAAACCTGGTGGCAGGGACAAGTTCTAATCAATGCACAGAGACCGCTGCCAATGACCCATGAAACAGAAAATAAATAGTTAATGTGTCAAGACACTAAGAGGCATAGCTTCTTCAGCAGGGGGCAATACTTGTATAGGCATGTAGGAATTAGGAAGCTCATGCGCAATACAAGGCTAAAAGGAATAGACTATCTTGTCCAGCTGATTTTATTTTAGACCTTCTGTAAGCATAAAACAGTATCAAAGACTGCAAGTACCCACCAGACTCGGATTAAACCCTTCTGAATATCCTGGGATGTAGTTTTGTCAAGGAAATGTGAATAGGATCAAAGTATATGTCTCTTTCTGATCTACATTGTCAAAGATCCAAAGCAAATCTCATGTTTTAGGTTAACAAATTCAAACAGTTTTTGTTCTATAACAATGCACCATTACTAGAGACAATTTTTTGCTTGTCAGGAGCGTCTTGAGAAACTGCAAGCCGCTTCTGGTGTGAGAAAATCGGCCATCCGCAAGGACATTGCTCAAGGGACACCTGCATGTTTTACCATCCTGTAAGAGACTTCTCTCATGCACGCGCATGAGAAGCTGGAGCTGACAGATGGGGCTCAACCCACTCCCTGGATTTGAAAACAAGGGTATAACCCATTGCACCACCAGGGGCTCCTACCTCAGACAATCATTCAGAAAGAGAATAGTTTGCCTCGGCAGAGTATAATGAAGCAGGCTTGTAGATTCACACTACAAATACTCAACCTTTTAACTACAAAACAGAGCTCCCAACGGTGCAATGGGTTAAACCCTTGTGCCAGCAAGACTGAAGACCGACAGGTCGGAGGTTCGAATCCGGGGAGAGCGCGGATGAGCTCCCTATGTCAACTCCAGCTCCCCATGCAGGGACATGAGAGAAGCCTCCCACAAGGAAGGTAAAACATCAAAACATCTGGGTGTCCCCTGGGCATCGTCCTTGCAGCCAGTCAATTCCTTACACTAGAAGCGACTTGTAGTTTCACAAGTCGCTCCAGACACACACACACAAAGCTGTTTTTCTATTTAAGTTTACTCTCTCTCTCTCTGCTCTCTGGCAAAACATGCATTAGGTTATAAAGAAAGATACACTGGCTGTTCGGACAACAGCAAACCACCTTCCTATGAACTTGTAAGCCACTCTGAGTCCCCTTCGGTGTTAGAAGGACAGGATATAAATGTCGTAAATAAAAAAATAAAAAAAATGAAAACTATGAAATTAATGGGCTCACCTTAAGTGACCCACAACTATAAGGCACACGGGGATCAATCAGTTATTAGTCCTACATAAAGCCATTTCAGCAAAAGGAACGGTACTTGTTAGTTACTTAAGGAGCAACGTCACATTACGGGTGCATCCACACTGTAGAATTAATGGTTTGACCACGTGTTAACCACCATGGCTCAATGCTATGGAATCACGAAGTTGTAGTTTCCAGGGCCTTTAGCTTTCTAACCAAACTGCAACCCCCAGGATCCCACAGCATGGAGTAATGGCAGGTAAAGTGGTGTCAAACTGCATCAATTCCACAGTCTAGATCAGGTATGGGCAAACATGGGTCCTCCAGGTGTTTTGGACTTGAACTCCCACCATTCCTAACAGTCTCAGGCTCTTTCCTTCCCCCCCCCCCCCCCGCCCCCTAAGCTGAGGGGGGAAAGGAAAGGGCATGAGCTGTTAGGAATAGTACAGTTGATCAGGCAAGGACAAACTTGGGCCCTTAAGCGGCTGAGGGGGGAAAGGAAAGGGCCTGAGGCTGTTAGGAATGGTGGGAGTTGAAGTCCAAAACACCTGGAGGGTCCAGATTGTCCCATGCATGAGCAATCTCAACCTACTAATTTGCATATGGTTTTTGATTGGTCAGCCTCAACATTCTAACATTCTTAAGTGGCTGAGGGGGGAAAGGAAGAGGCCTGAGATTGTTAGAAATTGTGGGAGTTGTAGTCAAAACACCTAGTCTTGATATAGGCTTCACCCATAAAGCGCAGAAAGCACCAAGTGACCCTCACCTCCTGCCTATTTCATTGCATTTTATTCAGCATCCATCATCATATTCATTTGTATTTGACATTGCACCTGTTTTTTAGCTTCATCTTATAATAATAATAATAATAATAAAAAACGCAGTCCTAGACACTTGGGAAGTGTCCGACGTGTGATCCAATTCAACAGCCAGCAGAGTGTCTGCTGTGGACTCATCTTGTTGTGTTTCAAATAATAATAAACAATTTTATTTATATCTCACCACTACCTCCCCAAAGGGGACTCGGAGCAGCTTACATGAGGCCAAGCCCAGCAATACATTACAGCAACACAAAATATAAACAACAAAATAACATCACAATAAAATAAATATCCCTAGAAGAGTATTTCTCTGCAAGATATACATTCGTAAAGGCCTCCCATCTTGCTTGACGGCCTAGACAGCACAGTTATTACAAAAACATTTCCATATTGCTGTCATCTCCTCCCAAATCGCACACAGACCCGAGTTGAGAAGACAAGTTCATGGCAGGTTAATTAACTTGCTATCTTTCTCTCTCCACATAGAAAACAGACAGTCTAATCGACCCCAGTCTTTCCAGAATAATAAATTGGGCACTGAAGAAAGGGCAATGGGAACTGCTTAACAATTTGGAGAGAGACAACAATATTTGCAACCAGCCAACTTCTGGATGCCCTTTGGGGATGAACGGGTTTCCCTGATAATGCTTGAAGCCTGGATCAGCCTGGATATTGAAATCTCCCTTCTCCCTCCATTCATTCACTCTTTAGTGCAGTTCACGGTTGAGAAATCTCCCCCTAAGATTCCCACGGGGTGGCACCGGGGGGGGGGGGGGGTGTTGCCCAGGCAACCCCACTGAGTTGGTCGCGGGTGGGAGTGGGAAGCGCTTACCTGCCTGCCAAGCCCACCCGTCCCCGGAGCAGCCCGCTGCATTCACTCCGGCGCCGCGGCTGTCATGCTGCCACTGCTCTTCTTCCTTTTCCCGGTCCCTTTCTCCGCCTGACTGGCCTCGCGACTAGCAAACCAGCGTGCCCCGCAAGGACACCTCACTTCCTGCCTGGGCTTCCCAGGGTCCTCTGTTTTGTAGTTCTTTGGGCGCCTTTGCTGCAGCCACGTGGGCGGATGGGTGTCCCCGTTTGCAGCATGAGTGAAGGCGGCCAGAGTGCATCTACACCACGTATGGCAAACTTGGGGCCCTCCAGGTGTTTTGGACTTCAACTCCCACAATTCCTAACAGCCGATAGGCTGTTAGGAATTGTGGGAGTTGAAGTCCAAAACACCTGGAGGGCCCAAGCTTGCTCGGTCTTGGAAGAACATGTCAGGGCATTGGTTTCTCCTTTTCGCCCTCCATTGGAGTCTTTTCAAATTCCACAGCACTGCTGATCACAGCTGACTTCCAGCTAGAGCGCTCAAGGGCCAGGGCTTCCCACATCTCAGTATCTATGCCACAGTTTTTAAGATTAGCTTTAAGCCCATCTTTAGGTAAAGGTAAAGGTTTTCCCCTGACATTAAGTCCAGTCGTGTTCGACTCTAGGGTGTGGTGCTCATCTCTATTTCTAAGCCGAAGAGCCAGTGTTGTCCGTAGACACCTCCAAGGTCATGTGGTTGGCATGACAGAATAGAGCGCCGTTACCTTCCCGACAGAGCAGTACCTATTGATGTACTCACATTTGCATGTTTTCAAACTGCTAGGTTGGCAGAAGCTGGGGCTGACAGCAGAAGCTCACGGCTTTCCCTGGATTCGAACCTGCGACCTTTAAGTCAGCAATCTCAGCAGCTCAGTGCTTTAACCCACTGCACCACCAGGGGCTGCAAGCCCATCTTTATGTTTTATTTATTTATTTACTATTTATATACCGTCCCTTTCAACCCACAGGAGACTCAGGGCGGTATATAAATAAATCTCTTTTCCTATCCAAAAACATTCTGTTTTCCGTCCTTGAGTTGGGAGCATAGTAACTGCTTTGGGAGATAGTGATTAGGCATTCAAACAACGTGGACAGTCTAGCAAGGTTGTTGGTGTAGGAGCATCGCTTCAATGCTAATGGTCTTTGCTTCTTCCAGCACGCTGACATTTGTCCACCTGTCTTCCCAAGAGATTTGCAGATTTTCTGGAGGCAACACTGATGGAATCGTTCCAGGAGTTGAGTGTGACATCTGAAGACAGTCCACATTTCGCAGGCATATAACAGGGTTGGGAGGGCCATAGCTTCATAAGCAAGTACCTTGGGCTCCCTATAGATGTCCCGATCCTCACTCTCTGCTTCATTTGGATAAATGCTGCACTCGCAGGGCCCAGGTGGAGCACAGAGCTCTGAGTCCACAGAGGTTTGTACTTGTTGGCAATCTCAAGTGTTTCAAGAAAAGAGATTTCACTTAAAAGATTAGGAATAACTTCCTGTGGGTAAGGGCAGTACAACGGTGGAATGTGCTGCCCCAGTGTGTGCTGGAGTCTCGGAGTTTTTAAGCTTTGATTGTGTGTTCCTGCATGGCATACAGTGAATAAAAAAGGCTCAAAAATCCAATGCTCTGCAGATGTCCATGATGCACAGGGATTCTTTAAAACCACAAAGGTCATCTACGGCTCAACAAATCATGGCATAAACCCTCTACATGCATTAGATGGAACCAAACTTCAGAAGGATAAAAAATCAATTGCACTAAGTTGGAAAGAGCACAACCATAACCACAACTCCAACGTGACCGAAGAGGTTCTCTTGCAAATCCCATGACAACAAACCAGGGATGAACTTGCAGCACTGCCTAATTTCGAGGAAGTCAGCAGAGGCATCAGCTGACTAAAAAAATAAGAAAGCCAGCAGACTTGATGGGATCCCTGCTGAAATCTTTAAAGAGGGTGGACCGGAGCTGACACAACAACTCCAACAGCTCATTGAAAAAGTGGGAACTGTCTATAGACGTCACACTCAACTCCTAGAATGATTCCATCAGTGTTGCCTCCAGAAAATCCTGCAAATCTCTTGGGAAGACAGGCGGACAAATGTAAGCATGCAATGCTCCTATGCCATCAACTCCGCTGGACTGGCCATGTTGTCCGAATGCCCAATCACTGTCTCCCAAAGCAGTTACTCTACTCCCAACTCAAGAACGAAAAACGGAATGTTTTTGGACAGGAAAAGATATTTAAAGATGGGCTTAAAGCTAATCTTAAAAACTGTGGCATAGATGCAGAGAACTGGGAAGTCCTGCCCCTCAAGTGTTCTAACGGGACGTCAGGTGTTACCAACAGTGCTATGGAGTTTGAAGAGGCACAAATGGAGGGCGAAAGAGAGAAATGTGTCAATAGGAAGACGCATCAAGCCAATCCTTGTTGGGACCACCTTCCACCTGGAAATGGATGTCCTCACTGAGAGAAAACATACGGATCAAGAATAGGTCTCTACAGTTAACTACAGAACCACCACCAAGACCCTATACTTGGAAGACAATCATACTCGGCCATGACTGATAGCCTATGATGATGATGATCCAAGATACCACCCATTCTTTTCCATGACCCCCGTGATCTTATTTGGCCTTTAAGGGAAGGAAATATCCTCCACAATTTTTTGAACACTTTTTTGTTCTTCTTTCAACTTTCCAATACTTCTCTGATTGTGTGTAAATGGCACTAATTTTGCAAAATTAGCAAAAGAACACCTCAATACTGAAATATGTTGAGATATTCCATCAGCAAGTGACCTTATAGGTTCTCAAGGAGGTAAATTTGTTTGAATCTGATTTAAATAACCTATCAAAATATACAGCTACAACAGATTGACAGGTCATAGAATCATAGAGTTGGAAGAGACCTCATGGGTCATCCAGTCCAACCCCATACAAAGAATCAGGAATATTGCATTCAAAGCACCCCTGACAGATGGCCATCCAGCCTCTGTTTAAAAGCTTCCAAAGAAGGAGCCTCCACCACACTCCGGGGCAGAGAGTTCCACTGCTGAACGGCTCTCACAGTCAGGAAGTTCTTCCTCATGTTCAGATGGAATCTCCTTTCTTGTAGTTTGAAGCCATTGTTCAGAGAACAAGCTTGCTCCCTCCTCCCTGTGACTTCCTCTCACATATTTATACATGGCTATCATATCTCCTCTCAACCTTCTCTTCTTCAGGCTAAGCAGGCTCTTTAAGCCGCTCCTCATAGGGCTTGTTCTCCAGACCCTTGATCATTTGTCACCCTCCTCTGGACACATTCCAGCTTATCAATATCTCTCTTCAATTGTGGTGCCCAGAATTGGACACAATATTCCAGGTGTGGTCTAACCAAGGCGGAACAGAAGGGTAGCATGACTTCCCTAGATCTAGACACTATGCTCCTATTGATGCAGGCCAAAATCCCATTGGCTTTGCTGCCACATCACATTGTTGGCTCATGTTTAACTTGCTGTCCACGAGGACTCCAAGATCTTTTTCACACGTACTGCTCTCGAGCCAGGCGTCCCCCATTCTGTATCTTTGCATTTTGTTTTTTTTTCCTGCCAAAGTGGAGTAGCTTGCATTTGTCCCCGTTGAACTTCATTTTGTTAGTTTTGGCCCATCTCTCTAATCTGTCAATATCGTTTTGAATCCTGCTCCTGTCCTTTGGAGTATTGGCTATCCCTCCCAATTTGGTGTCGTCTGCAAACTTGATGATCATGCCTTCTAGCCCTTCATCTAAGTCATTAATAAAGATGTTGAACAGGACCGGGCCCAGGACGGAACCCTGCGGCACTCCGCTTGTCACTTCTTTCCAGGATGAAGAGGAAGCATTGGTGAGCACCCTCTGGGTTTGTCCATTTAACTAATTACAGATCCATCTAACCATAGTTTGCCTAGCCCACATTGGACTAGTTTGTTTGCCAGAAGGTCATGGGGGACCTTGTCGAAGGCCTTCCTGAAATCCAGGTACGCTCCATCCACGGCATTCCCCGCATCTACCCAGTTTGTAACTCTATCGAAAAAGGTGTCAAAATATATCTTGCAGATTATCCATATACAACCACATCATGTAAATACTTTTAGTAACAGTATTAGTTTTCTCTATACCTCATGAAGCTTTTGTTTCTAGAGATCATATGTGCTATAGCTATTTTCATACATTATTTCTCAGTGAATTATTTTTTTTCTTTTCATTCTTTCGAATCTTTCAAAATTTTGTAAATTTTGTTATCAATAATGTTACTGTTTATTCTTTCAAGAATCCTGGGAAATTGATGTTTCCTGAATATTTTCAGGTTCTTACCAAGTTCTGCCATCTTCAGCTGACTATTGTAGCTATGGTTTCCTTTCCCTTCTAATTAGTGGATTTAATAAACATTTCAGTCAATTATCTTATCACTTCTTTATTTCCTTCATAGAGTATTCTAGAATCTTTCAAACAGTCCTCTACCTCCCACATCATAGTCCCATCTTCCAAGCTAACTTCCATTACCTGCCATACAGATCACACTTCATTTTTAGACCACACTAACTTTACCTGCTATACATCTTTGCCTGTCTCCTCATTAAGCTTAAGACAGCCTTCTCTATTTTGAGCCTGGCCCCTTTCCCCTTTCTGACCTCTATTGTGAAAGTGTCCTTTCACTTAAGATATTCTTTTCCTCTGTTCCCACTTTCATGTGTCCCCCTTAGACACATCTTTTCACACTAGCTGTTCCCATTTGATCATATATATTATTTCTTTCTCCTGCAATGTTTCTCGCTTTTGATTAAATTGTAACTCTATGGGCAGAGAATATATTTCTTTCAACTTTATATATATTGTATAGTAGTTTAGACACAGAAATATATAAATGTAACTGATACTTTTAAAAGTGGTGAATACATTTTCCTACATGAAATGCAGGTAAGCATTAAAGAGATGCAGAAATGACTACAATTTATGCAACACAATGTGAGAAAGATCAATTTAAAATGCATCACTATAGATACAATTTTCTCAGCAGAGATACAAAAATATGAAAATCAGTTCTTAGATGGAAGTTTAAGGGAAAGAACTGAAAATGTACTACTGTTGCCATTGCCAACAAAAAGTGGGGGGAAAGGTCGGCCAACACAGTGCCAACTATAAATTTGACTAGCTGTGTTTAAATTCTTGATCCACGATAGCATTCTCATGAGACTGCAGAAAACAAAGTGTCATTTTATATTAACTAAAACTATCTAGATATGTTAAAGGTGGTATAGAAAGCCAACAGTCTATTAACTGCCTCAGTCTATTTACTAAGGCCAATGGTTTAGGGAATTTATCAGTACCACTTTGCAAATTATTTCCCATCTCAATAAGGTGAAATTAAATGCATCCTTCAGTTAAGCCATTTGCAAGGAAGACAGGAAACAGAGTTTAAGTTTTTAATTAGGGAGTTTATGCTTCAACTACTGAACAGATTACTAAATCACCTCTGGAGCAGGCTCTAATCACTTCTATTATATTCTTCCCAAGCCTTCTGCCTGACATGAAAATGCATAAGCCAAGTGACTTATCAATCCATTATTATGAGCTCTTCTCGGTATTGTTTCCTTATTTCAGTCTCTGATGTGCGAGAGACACACTGCCACACCTCCAAGACATCTGAGTTCAAATCTTAAGTGAAAAATCCATTTAAAACGCAAAAAGATATGTTGTTGAGAAAACAAATGCGCAAAACTCTAACAGCACATTGGGGGAGGGGGGAGGACAGAAAGTATATCTCAAAGGAACTCAAAAGTCCAATTGTCCACTATAACTGCACTCAATTCAATGTCCGAGTTTCGTTCCTTTTCAGAAAACACTGTGTGTTCTAACACATGTCTACTCAAAACAATGTTCAAATGAGTTTGAATTTACTCCCAGGTAAGTGACTGCAAGACTGCAATCTCAGGCAAGGAGCTTCAAACTGAAACTGTCCAACCAAAATTCCTACCTGCCCTTTCACAGGCTTTTCCTTTTGCCACAGAAGCAACTGTAGTGCAAATATCATGAGGCATTCTGGCTTTTTGAATGAAAATATTTTTATTGATAATTGCTTTCTTGTGTAGTGTTTCACAATCACAGAATCTATTCCTAATATTGAATTATTTTAATGGAACACTCAAAGATACCAACAGAAAAAAAAAACATAAAAATATCACAGGTAATCTAAACACCCTAGTGTATCTTCAAATTAAAACTGATATGGCATACTCCACTAGTATCAGTTCTGCTTTGCTTATGATGTACTATTTTCAATCATACTGTATCCTTCTAGAACATGAGCTACTGATTGAATTATATAAAAGCCCCTGATGAATTATGAATCCTTCAGTTCAAGCAGCTCCTCCAGTAGCCTTTTAGGCAAAAGGCACCCAATTAGTAAAGACACTCTATTAGAAATGGAAAAACAAAAAAGAGGAATAAAAAACAATACTTTTTTGCAACTCCTATGCAACTGACACAGAAAAGCCCACTATATTGAGCATTACATATACCACCTCTGACAACATATTTTATTTCTTTCCATCTGAAGTTAATTTATTTATTTCTTTCATTGTGCCTGTGCTCACTTGTTAACAAACCCCAAAGCACAGTAAAATGGTGGTGGATTCGGCCATAAAACATCAGATCAGGCATATGCCTTCAGTAATCTCACAAATATTCTGCCAAAGGATACACCATGCCTTGATGGATTGAATGACTCTGGCTTGTGGATGGAAGGTTCTCTAGCAAGTTTTGGGCAGATGCTGTTTGCGATGAATCCATTTGACATGTTCCACTTTGAACCTGCCATTGAATATGAAAGAAATTATAAAAATAATCTATAGGTTTGTTCTTTCATATTTTATCTTCCCTGTATTGTCTTCAGTAGCGATAAACCCAAAAACACACCCACATAAACAGAGCTCCGTGCTGCTGGCCTTCAGCAAAGAAGTTACCTTTGCTTTAGTTTGAAATAATAAAACCACACTGTACAGACTACACATCTGATGCACACTCTATTCTGTGTACTCAAAACTTGAATGGGATATAGCACATATAAGCACCTGTATACCTGTGTGGTATTACTGGGTTTTGAGCAATATAAAATTTACCTACTATCAGTCCTACACGTTTTCACTCCTTATGTAAAATTTCTCTACATTTCATTTCATTTGTACAGATAACAGAGAATAGCCTGATAAGAGCACTACTGGAATTTTCCTCTCCCCAGTTGTAAGTCAGTCTAATCTACCAAACTCAAAACATGGTAACCCTAAGAGTAGAAATTGTTTTGATTTTTAAAAATTGGTATATAAGACACTCAGGGAGTTTTTCTATGTAAAACAGGGTATAAATGCTATACTGCTATAAATAAGTAAAATAGCAAAGTCCTTACTTAAATCTGTCTGAAGATGATACAATTTATTTATCAGTTGTCATATTTATTTACTGTTATTCATAATATTGCCCAGAAGAGTTTATAATACAAACCAAAGAGAATGCATACAAGATTCAGTTACTGATAATACTACGATAAATATCAAAACAGAATAAATTATACAGTAAACTTTGTTTGAGGGACTTTTAAAAGTAGTTATTTCATTTGCCAAAATTTGCAACTGTCTTTACTACAGATGTTTTATCGTTGCATCAGCACCATGTTATGGATGGGAAAAGTAGGCCTCCTTCCTAGGAAGTAGACCTTACTGAAATGAAATTGGTAACATTAACAATAACAGATGGAAGAACAGCCATTCTTGTCACTGAATTTACAATTTCTGCATACCATTAGCAGATTATGTTCAGCAAAATCCTCACCTGAAGAAGAAAGGAGCGAAGAGTACTAACTGTGACATCAGAAAGGTCTGTCAATTTGGAATTTGCTGCTTTTTCAAGAATGCGGCTAATTTCAGTTTGGAAAAAAAATGTAGTTTTCTGATACCTTATAAACTTGAAAGAGGAAAATGAAGTTTTATTTTAACCCTAATATAGATTTATATTCAGATTAACACAGAACTGAAGTTACTAGAGAAGTGATCTGAACATACTGTTCAATAATACTTCAGAACAAAAGTTATAACTTCTGCTTCAAATGGGATAAGATCATGATTAGATGAACAACTGTATTTTTCCTACTTAATTATTCTGTACATGTAACTTCCCAAAATTGCACATTACTGAATATAAGACAAGACGATTTCATAACATTCAGAGATACTTAAAATTACAATCACCTAGAAGAGAGATATACTGAAGTCATGGGCCTTACTTCTGAATAGTTATGCATACAGGCCTTTGATCTCTAATATTGCTGTTTTTAAATTGTTTTAAATTGTTTTTAAATTGTGTTAGATTTTAGCCTGTTCTTGTAAGCCGCTCCGAGCCCCAGAGGAGTGGCAGCATATACGTTTGAATAATAATATAAAATAAAATAAAATAAATAAATACAACTGCTCTGCAAGTTTTACAGAAAGGCACACAGCATGGAAAGCATGGAAAGCATAGTGGTGGTACTGGCTAGGGCATTGTGGAAGTTATTGTCATCCCCCCCCCCCAAAAAAAAACCCCACCCACATTTACCATGTTTCAGACAAGGAAGAAGTAACATTTGATATCCCTTCTGAAGCTAAGAATGCTTTGTACAAATAATGATATTCTAATGCAAGACACTGATGGATCTATGTAATTATAATAGTTTAGCATGTGCTATGAATATTAAAACATCTACTCACTATCCCTTGTTGTGTGCCTATGTGACCTGCATATATCCCTCAACTTCATTTAACCTGATTAACAGGCTGAGAAACTGTCAGTCCAGGGAGGTTTCTACCTCAGTTTCTATGGCATCAAAGCAGTCACAACGCTGAAGAGGTACATTCAGATCTCCCACTTTTTCTTTAAAAAGTTATTTCATTTTTAAAAAAATGATTAGGGAAGTAACACTATTTAAGTACTTTCTCCAACAGAGAAAAACATATGCACGTACATCTTAAAGCTGTGTTCAACTTTGCTAGAGAAAGAGAGACAATATGCTAGCATCTGAATGTTATGATTCTGTCTTTTTATTAGGCCAGAGTATTTACTCCCTCCCGAATACTAATATTCTCATCAAAATTACATTAAAAGTATAGGAAACGGATTTGATCAGAATATCTAATTATAGGTGGCTCATCTATTTTGCCACTGGGATCATTATAAGGCATGGCAATAAATCATGCAACCCACCAGATATTGTTGTGACTGCCATACCCAGCATTCTACTTCATTGACTATTTTAGCTAGAGCTACCTTAGCTAAGCTTGCAATACAATAACATCTACAAGATCATGTGACTAAAGTTTCTGCCTTAGCGATACAAGAGACTTAAATAATATAAACACTTAGAATCACAGTGTCTTTCATAACATGCTAGATTTTTGCAGTATGTGTTATAGCCCCATACTCACTATAGCAACTAGTCTAAGAATTTCTGGCTGAAGAAAGGAATTTTTGCCACCATCCAGAAGTGTGATCAGCAAGAATTTATTCCACGGCTGTGAAGCAATATGGCATGCTAAAAGTAGAGAAACCAACCAGAAGTAGCTTAATGGCTTTAATAAGAGCAACCCAGTAGGGAAAAAAGCCTAGTAAAGTGTATTTATTCATACAGAATAAAGACTTCATTTATCTCATCCAGAAAATTATAAAAGAAAATTGTTCTAGCACGAGACTAATTTGTGGAGATAAATCCCCTTTGAGAAGAGCCATTATTGCTTGCCACAATTTAACTGCCTACCTAATTCATCCTTAACAATTAATACATTAAGATACATTCTAAGCTTTTGCACATTTGACAGTAGTTCTAACTGTACTTATCAGTGTATTCAAAAATATCCTATTTTCCTCCCAGAATTTAGGTATTAGCTGCAATTTTTACAGCCATTTTCCTTGCCTTTCAGTTTTTGTAGCATTTCACATATCTGTATACATTTCACACATCTATATCCATTGGATCCAATTCGTACACATCTGTTGTTCTTGCTATATTTTTAGGAGGACCAATTATGACAATCTTAAATAAGAGTGTCACTTCTTCCACAAAGGTTTCCTGGTGGCCTGTGTTTCCTCAATTCATTTCCAGTGTGAATGAAGATATGTTTTCTCCCTTCTTTTTAGAGTCATAGTGCTACAACAGTAGAATCATAGAATCATAGAGTTGGAAAAGACCTCATGGGCCATCCAGTCCAACCCCTGCCAAGAAACAGGAAAATTGCATTCAAAGCACCCCCCAACAGATGGCCATCCAGCCTCTGTTTAAAAGCTTCCAAAGAAGGAGCCTCCACCACACTCTGGGACAGAGAGTTCCACTGCTGAATGGCTGTTCTGTGTCCTAGTTTCCAGGGCAGCAGAAAACAAGCTTACTCCCTATCCCTATGACTTCCTCATAGGGAGTAGAGTTTTATACCACAAAACTACTACTACTAACAATAATAATAATAATAATAATAATAATAATAATAATAATAATAATAATATATTAGAAATAGAAAATAAAAGAATGTGCAAAACTGTGAGCATGAATATGGAGGAAAAGGTATCTAGATTTGAAATGCTGCCCTTCTGTGTTCATGAAGGGCACTGGCTAAGGGAAACCACATCATGCTACAGCTTAACCACGCCTCAGGTGGGAGAAAATAGTGAAATGTAAATTGGCTGTAACAGTAAAATACATTACAAACTGCAACAAAGAAGCACTTGTATATTAAAGGCATCACTAGAAATAGGAGCAGAAATAACTATTCGAATGTATAAAATTCTGAAACAGAATGCCCTGACCATTACAGAACTGTTGGACAGACTAGCAGAACCCTCTAACTGACCTCTGGAAAAGTGTTAGGTTAGTTAACATTGAGGTTAACTATGGGGTATTGCTTCTATTTTACATGAATTACAAAAATGCTCATGTTCAACTATTGAAAATAATCCAAACAATCCAAAATAATATAATAAAAAAAACTGTACCAATACTCTGATTCTTTGATTGCAGATATGCTAGAAAGACCTCAAGACAGCCCATGGCACTTTGTGATAGCAAAAGATCCCTCTGTAAATACAAGGGAAATGATGAGAACATTGACAATCTCTAACTAAAGACTACTTCTTAGGTTATAACATTGTAATCTACTAAACTCTGTCCCTATAAATCAAAATGATTGAAAACATTGCAAAGGATAGCTTCTTCAGATAGTAATAGAGTTTATGCTACTAAAGGACTTAGTATAGGAACTCCTGGAGTTTAAACAGGACCTCACAAATGTCCAAGAGTTTACACTTGGGCTGCACTGAAAATGACTCAATTATCTGCTTGTCAGTATTAAAGACTTCAATTATATAATAAATAAAAGAGAATGTTCCCCCGACTTGTCTGTGGACTTGGAACAGATCCCTCTTCAAGCGCTTTTAACAAATATTTCAATTATTTATTGTTAACAGATTTCTACCTGGACCAATAGATTCTGCAGATGGATAGCCAAGGAGAGTACATGGTCCAAGGCTAGCGGATACAAGGAGGCATCCTCTGTCGACTGTTCCTTCCCTTGCTGAACAACAAATTTCACAAATGAAGAGCAGAGGTTCTGCCTAAAGAAGGCTCTCAGAAATTGAAGGATGCTGACTAAATACAAAATTATATATTAGTACAAAAGATATTACTCAACCACACTTAGATATTGTTAGCAGTTGCACATTTTTGAATTCTTAAGCAGGGAAATGGCAGAGGTGACCAGAGATGACTAGCCCCCAAGGCAGTAATCATGCTTTTCCCTCTCCGGAGAATGACCCTCGACTTACCCACAGGTCATAACAAAATCCATAATTTTGCCCCCTAATCCTGATCTTGACTAATACATGAAGTCAGCTTGTACATGAGTATATACTAGACTTGTGCATTTCGGCTGAACATCAATCCATTTCTGCTGGCCAGATTCCAGTAGAACCCCATATCCATTTTTGCATGCCTCCCGAAAACAGGTGAGTAGCCGGATAGCTACTTTTTGTCCGTTAGTAAAAAAAAATTGGTTAGATCCGGCCCAGTGGTGGCAATGAGGAACTAGCGAGGCTCCCCTTTCCATTCCTGGCACCCTTTCCTTTTTTCCCATCAAAGGATCCTAGGTTTCAGCAATGGGGTTAAGGAAGCACCCTTCCTGGCACCCTTTCCTTTTTTCCCTTCAAGGGAGCCTGGGTTTCAGCAATGGGAATAAGGAAGCAGATGAGGCTTGTGTAAGATACATCATATTTGCATGTCACATGATACCGAATAGGGTCGAAGAGGCCATGATTGGCTGCTACATGGTCCCATAATGGACGAAAAACATGACAGCCGGGCCCTTCCCATTACAGCCATCTGACCAAGCTGAATAAGCTGGATTGGCAGAAGAGAACCGACCACTTTGAATCTGTGCACAAGCTTAGTATATACGCATTACTCTAGAACTCCATCTAGACTAATCTTTCAATAGTTTTCCAGTTTCTGCTATCCATGGAGGTGGGGCTTGGAATGTATCTCCACAGATATGGAAGCTATATTTCTGTAACATGGTCATATCTATATTACACTTCAAGGCACAAAAAACACAAATCACTTGGAGCTTGCTGAATGGCTTAGGAGCACTTGAAGCTGTAGGGTTAACTTGAAATAGAGGCTGATTTGATACATACTTGGATGAAGATGATAGACCACTTCCTATACATTTCTTAGGCTTTTAAATAGAAAAAACATAAGAAAGGATAGGAAGGTCTATAGCTTCTTCCCTGTTGATTGATCCATATTTTTTTTTGGAAAAGTATTTTCAAGTACCTTTCAGAAAATAATTGAACAAAACTTGAGTACAGTCCTTTCTCCATACTGAAAACACATAAATTATTTACACATTTTCCAAGCAGAAGTGAGTTACACTTTTCTAACATATGAAATGGCCTTTACTTTTCTTATTCTCTGAGCTTTAAATCATGCTGGCAGAGATATCACCTACCGAAGAATAATAAGGGCTTCTCCTTCCTGAATGCAAGTGCACTGAAGAACTTGTCAACATCCAGACAGATTATATGATGAACCTTTCAGAAATTAATCAGTGAATGGTTGTAGAAAGAATGGGAAAAAAACAACAGACAAGATCTTATAGAGAACACAGAGAAGGACAATAGTATTGTCTCCAGTTTGGAAATGTTAGCGTTTTTGTTCTACCGGTCCCAGAACAATTCTCAGTGGACATGCTATCTAGGGCCCCATCTAGATTACAATATAATGCAGATTAAGTGCACCATATGAGTCTACATTAATCATTATAATGCAATTCAAACTGCATTAAATGGCAGTGAAGATGAAGCCAAAGTGATTCCAGGAATTATAGTCCTCAAAATTCTATTTTTCCTCTCTCTAGAGATTTAAGCCTCCCCTCAAAAGAATCCTGGAACTGAACTTGTAATTTACTCTTTATATTGTTAATTTATGACAAGCAGAACTCCCTGATTTCTGTGTCCCGATGAGAAAACCCAGACAGTTAACAGCCATGTTTTTCATTGATGTTCATTTTTAGCACCCGGCTGAAATGAACATGGCCATTTGCTTCTTCCCTTAGACAATGACACAATATCCACTCATACACAAGAATATCAGTAGCTTCCATAAATTCCATGCTTGAATCAAAGTTTTTCCACCAGGAATTGTCCCTGTTCATATTTGAATATAATAGTTCAGCTTTCCTAAAGACTACATAGGAAATTATCAGTACAGAGGAATTTTAGCATAAACTTATCTTACAAGGCAGGATCACTAGGAAAGGGGAGTGAGGTTTTCCAAAGTAGTATTTATTTCATGTAGTTGAGTCACTCTGCAACAGGGAAGACTAGGTTTACATGCAAAGGTAGCATGCAAGCTGGGCAGGCCATACTGAATTGATTTGTAATGTGTTTGCCATAAAACAATTGATAACGCATGCATATCAGATTGCCACAGGTTAAGACTACACAGACACGGGCAAGAAGGACAAGAAGGTTTCCCACCTAGGATCACAGGCCAGGCTGAGCAGCCCAGGAAATTGTGACCTGAAGCAATTGCCAACAACAACAAAAATGACATCAATGACATAGCTGAAGAAGTAAAGTTCAAGTATTCTAGCATCCAGCAGGAGGCAAGCACTACTTGAACTATACCAGCAGTAGCTACAGTCAACAGCATCTTCTAAGATCTATAAAAAGCACTGGAGAAATTAGTAGAGTAGATAAGGCAGCCAGAAACTTCTGCCAAGCAAACCTTGAAAAACAATGTGTCCGTAAACCTAGTGAAGTCATTGCCAAGAGACATGCCAAGGATTTGTTTGTGAGAAACAGAAAGCAGAAAAAAACACAGGGAAAGATAATAATCTACCAACTATTCTAGCAGTCTGTTTGGAAAAATGAGTCGACAAGGAAAAGGTAGCAGAGGAAGAACCGAAAGAAGCGCAAGTCATCCAGAAGGCACAAAAAGAGTACCAGCTTCATTTGAGGATGAGCTGAGTAGCAGGAAAGAAGATTACTAGAGTGTGGCAGAACTCATATCAAGTTTGCCAGAATAGGTCTTGAAGAGGTCGGTTCACACAAAAATAAAACACTCGTGAATTAGGGTCTGTTTAGGCTGACAAGGACACAAAAGTCTCTCATCACATTCCCATTGTGAACTGTGAGTCAGAAGATCCTAGAGATCTATTTTAATCACAGGACCAAAAAATAATTTTGGCTGGATGTCATGTGATTTTTTTCCATTGCTGAAACAAATGTCAGACAAGGACCAGAAAAATTTATCTCAGTAAACAATAGTAGGCTCAAAACAAAAACGTGACAGAATGTACATACTGACACTGTTTGCCCGGTCTCATTGAGCCCCCGGTGGCTCAATGGGTTAAACCTTTGTGTTGGCAGGACTGCTGACCTAATGGTCAGCAGTTTGAATCCGGGAAGCAGGGTGAGCTCCCATCTCCAGCTTCCCGTGCGGGGACATAAGAGAAGCCTTCCACAGGATAGTAAAACATCTGGGCGTTCCCTGGGCAATGTCCTTGCATATGGCCAATTCTCTCCCACCAGAAGAAACTTGCGATTTATCAAGTCGTTCTTGACACACACAAAAAAACTGGTTATATGGGGATTGTCCATTCTGCTTATCCTGAGAGATGCTGGCATCTAATCATCATTTAAATCATATCATGGAATCCAAGTTATAGAAGAAGCAGCAGCAGCTACGGATTATACGATGGTCTTTCATCTCCCATCCAAGGGCCAGGGCTAAACAACTAAATGATGCAACAGAAGTACTGCATGCGCAGACAAAACGATCATTCACATCTTGCTTTATTGAGGTAAATGTCCTAACCAAGCCTGGGTGTCTCTAACAATAGACTTTACAAATAATGGGAGATAATGTCCTTAATGTATACATACAATAGTGCTTGGCTGCATTATGTTGCTGCTATAGAAAAATTGTGAGCTGTCAATATTTAGAAAATGGTTATCTATGTATTAGTACTCTACTTATTAGGATCTTCTCTTTACAGGTTGTACATAACGTTTACTGTATTTCTAACCTCTGCACTGTAAGCATGTTGTTGAGTCAAGAGTGAAGCAGTCAGCAGCCAAGCAGAGCAGAGAAGTGCTTCCCCAGATGAGGAAAAAGCAGGTTCAGATGAAGAGGCTGCCATCCAAGTGCATTGGAAAAGTTTCTCAAGTAGTTCAAGCAAAGGTGTATTAGAAAACAACATTGCAACCACTGTGAAGTAAAGAAAAGGGCCAGTGAGCTGTGTGACATGGGTAAAATAGAGGGTCAAAAGTTATGAGAATCCCAAGTAGCAACTGTGAGTAGCAACTGAAACCAATGAGTGACATCAAATACAAATTGTGAATAGTGACTAAAACCAATGAGTGACAATGGGTTTAGCCAATGATGTTATATTTTTATCTTTGAATTTGGCCCTGCCCAGTGTAATTCCTTTGTGTTTCAATGTTTGATTTTATTTTGCTGTGTCGCCTATTATATTGGTTTTGCATTTTATGTATTTTATTTTGTTATGCTTCTGTGTAATATTGTGTTTATTGTACCGATGGGCGTGGCCTCATGTAAGCCACCCCGAGTCCCTGGAGGAGATGGAGCAGGGTATAAATATAGTTTTATTATTTATTATTATTATATTTCAAACATAGGATAGCGGTACCTGTAGCCTTTCACATACTGTAGTTCAATTCCCATAATCTCCCAATAAGCAAGAAGGCTGGGCCTGATAGCAGCTGAAATCTAGCAACATCTGGAGCACCACAGGCTCTTCATCTCTGCTTTAATCTTTCACACAACTCATTAATTAGTTGTTTAAATATACTGAATAATCATCATAGTACATGAACAGGTGATTGATAGGTCTCAGTGGTATTTTTTGTCTCTCTTCTTTACTTAAGAAAATAAGACACAACCTTAGCACATTAATAACTTGTGCATAGGTGATTATGTAGAAAAATAACCACCGGATTTTTCATGCCAGATGGAAAGAGAGTGCCTCAAAACATACACTCAACATCTATCTTTTCTCTAAGGTTTCTGTGGTTTGTTTATTTATTTATTTATTACTATATTTAAACCTTGCTCTTCTCACCCTGAAGAGGACTCAGAGCGACTCACAAAAAAGGCACAATTCAATTGGTTGTGCTTCATTAGAAAACCACAATTAATTCTACAGATTTTTACTTTTTTATGGTCATTTTAATTATTGTATTAAAATTTGAAAAAAGTAAATAAATATTTAGATATTTTAAATGTTTGAAAAGGCAAAATGAACTATAAGGAGAGTGACACCACCCATCATGAGATAGCTTTGTACCCACTGTAGATAGCCCTTTTAACCATCACTTTAATCAGCCACAGAGTTCTTTTTGAAGCAAAAGTTTCTCATGGAACCTCTAGAAATGTTTATATATTATCTATATCGACATCTATCTATCTATCTGTGTGTGAATGTATTATGTATGTGGTGGTGTAGGTTGCCGCAGCTTTCCTACTGGCTCCCACTGCCAGAGACCACAATGACCCCCACCAACGATGGACCTGGATCAAACTTGCCACACAGACCCCTGATGACCCACTTTAGGTCTTGCCTGGGTTTGGAGGAGGATGGACCACAGATTATGGAATTTGCAGTACCTTTGCTCGCTTTCAGAGACCACTGCGATCTTAACCAATGATGAATCTGGACCAAACTTGGCACAGAGAATCTCCATGGCCAACTGAACATCCTGGAGGGTTGGGGGGGGGGGGGGGGGGGGGGGGGGGGGGTGATTGACCTTACTTTCTGGGAGTTGTCGTTCACTTACATCCAGAAAACACTGAATCTAGCTGATGACGGATTTGGACCAAATTTGGACCAGGACTAAACTTGGCACAGAGAACCCCCATGATCAACTGAACATACTGGAGGATTTGGGGGAAATTAACCTTGCATTCTGGGAGTTCTGGGAGTTGTAGTTCACCCACACCCAGAAAACACTGAATCTAGCTGATGACGGATTTGGACCAAATTTGGTACACAGACCCAACATTGCCTACTTTGAATAATGGCATGGGGCTTGGGGAGGACTGGCCCAAGATTTTGGGGATTGTAGTTCACCTGCATCCTTATGCATTTTTAATGGGATGATTCATAAAAAAACAAATGTAAACACTGACTTTTTTCTAATAACTAGTGTAACAAATTACCTAACTGATATTACCTAACATCCAAAATCAAACGCCTTTTTCAAATAACCCAGGCATCACCAGGCACCCAAACTAGCATTATATATTATTTATAATGTATATATATATCAGGCATGGGCAAACTTTTGGACACAGAGGCCGCATTGCGTTTGAAAATTTGACAGACAGGCCAGGCCAGTGGCAGATGAATAGAGAGTATTTGTGTGAACTAATTGGGGGGAAAAAAAAAAACAAATTCCTATGCACTTGCACATATCTCATTTGTAGTGCAAAAGGGAAAAGAAAATAAAGAACAATACATTATTTAAAATGAAGAACAAGTTTAACCAACATAAACTTAACAGTATTTCAGCAGAGGACCCCAGGGGCCATCCATTCTACCATGCAAGAAAAGCACAATCAAAGCATCCTCAACAGATGGCCATCCAGCTCTTACAATAACAATGATGATGATGGTGGTGGTGATGATGATGATAGGAGCAACCCCAAGGGCAATCCAATCAACCCCCTTATGCCATGCAGGAAAAGCACGAAGCATCCTTGGAAGATGGCAATCCAGTCTCTATAGCAATTGTAGTAGTAGTAGTAATAGTAGTAGCAACCCCAGGGGCCATCCAATCCAGCCCCCTTCTGCCATGAAGGAAAAGCACAATCAAAGCACCCCGAGTGATGACAGGGAAATTGAATTTGGAAGCAAAGAAGGTGGGGAGGGGAAGGAGTCTGAGCAATGGGAAAAAGTCTGGGCAGTAAGGGAGGGAGAGGAAAGGGTCTTGGCAGCTCCAAACTTTCATTTCCCTGCATCATTTCTCAGGAGGAAATAGGAGGCAGCAGGAAGCAGCATGGTGCCCCTCACTATCACTCATGTAGTCCCAAGGACTCCATGGAGCAGAGTCTGAGAACCCCTGAAGTTCCACACTTATTGAGTGCATTTTGGTTTTTATTTTTCAGATTATTAGTATATTGCCTGGTTTATTGTAGATGGGACATCAAAATTTTGGTTTTGGGTAAGGGAACTATGTCGGCAGCAAGATGACCTTGGATCACTTTATTGCCAGCACTGTGGTGCAAATGGATAAATCGAGGATTTACTCCTGAGCAAAATATTCTGGTTTGCATCCAGATTATTAAGACAAGCCCAGTAACTCCCCAGTATTTGTGCAGATATAAAGGATCAAGATTATGATAAAGGGAAAGAGAAATATGTTGCTTCAAAACCTGTTTATGATGTATTACAACTTCATTTTGGGGGGCCTGGTGGTGTAGTGGGTTTAAACTGCTGAGCTGCTGAACTTGCTGACTAAAAGGTTGGCGGTTCAAATCCCGCTGTTAAGCCCAGCTTTTGCCAACCTAGCAGCTTGAAAACATGCAAATGTGAGTAAATCTATAGATACCGCTCCGGCAGGAAGGTAGCAGCGCTCCATGCAGTCATGCCAGCCACATGACCTTGGAGGTGTCTACAGACAATGTCAGCTCTTCGGCTTAGAAACAGAAATGAGCACTACCCCCGAGTCGGACACTAATAGACTTAATGTCAGGGGAAACCTTAACCTTTACCTTGGAACCAAACCTAACCTATAATTTAGTGTTATATTAACAGGCCTTCCTACCCTTAATTTTCTCTTATATTCTCTTTTTGCACACTTGTAAGGAATTTGGAAACTTTCTCTTCTCTATGTATTGTGACTATGTATTGTGCCAAACTGAACAAAGGGTAATTTAACTTCATTATGGCATAGAGAAGGAAGTAAATTTCAAACTCTTGCTTAATATTGTGGCCTAGTTCCCATAGCATAGTAAAGATTACCAAGTTCCAGATTTGACCATAATCGAGTTTATTGTAAACTCATACAAAAGCATTCAGGTGCCTCTTCATGCTGCAAGTTTATTATTACCAGATTACAATGTGATTGTGATACATACTTATTCCCCAACTTGTGAGAAAGAAGTATTAGAATTAAATCACATTATACCTCTTTGCTGACTGGATGGTGTTGTTTGCTGAAGGCTCCAGTACAGAAAATTCAGAGAAGGCTGAAGAATTTCATGGTCTGCTGGGCTGCATTTTCCGCACAAATTGCTGACTGTGTGACAGAAATAGTTAGTGTTTAAATTTGCCAAATCTCTGGAGGTAGACTTTGATACAGAAACAGCTAAACCATTTCAGAACACCAATCAAGTTAGTGTGTAACATTATTACAGATCCTGACAGGGACCATCTGTGTCAAAACAGATCACAAGAAATTCCATGTTTACTGTCACATCTGTAGACTGTAATTACGTGTTGCAATCTGCAACAGTATCCCACCTAAAGGTTGAACCAGGGCAGAATTGCTTACAATCAGGCACAAATTAGAGGGGAACAGTCATGATGGGTGGAGAACCCCCATGATTTGCCTGTGAAGACTGTGGAACAGAAATGAATGTTCCCAAAAGCCCCAAAGAAAATTGGGATCTAGATATTTGATTTTTATAATAGAATATTCATTTTTGGAAAACGGACATGTGTTTAGAGGAAACTGATGAGCAAATGACAAGAATGAGAAGGTGAATTTGTAGCAGCTAAACAGCAAAAACCCCTGAGTCCTCTTGGGAGAATAATAATAAATGATAATAAACTTTTATTTATATCCCACCACCATCTCCCAGAGGGACTCGGGACGGCTCACAGAACACTCTAGATGTGACATAAAAAATACAATAAGTGGAAAACAAAACATAGACAATAAACAATCAACACAACATCATAAATTCACAGTGCCCCCTGGAAAAATAAAATACAGCAACTGCTGTAGATAAAACAGCCGTATTAGATCTCAGAATTGTAAAGTGCTAATAAAGAATCTAAAGGTCCTCATATGTATTATTAGAGCGTCTAAACATGGTCGAAGACTTGTCAGAAAAGCCAGGTCTTTGTGTGTGAAAGGTTTGGGGGGGGGGGAGGGCTAGAAGTCTATTATCTATCCCTACAGTATATGCTTAATATCAGGAAGTAAGCAGGACCGAGAGCAGGGCCTCCCTAGACGATCTTAATCTCCACAATGATTCATAGAAGGAGATACGTTCAGACAGGTAAGCTGGGCCAAAACCAGTTACCTTGTTTGAACTCAAGCTTTCTAATATATAGCATTCCCATCGTCCAAAAGTATAGAAATACAAAAAACCTTTAACAGCTAGCTAATGCAGACACTTTCCTTATTATCTCTCATACAGTGGACACATAAACTATCTATCTATCTATCTATCTATCTATCTATCTATCTATCTATCTATCTATCACTTACACCACATTTTATACCAAAAGTCCACAACATCACAGTATACTGTTAAAGTAACATCTGATTTGTCCACAGAAAAAAACTTTCCTATCCATAAACCAGATTTATACCCCCGCCCCCAAAAAGCAAACTCACCCAGATGAAGCAATCTGAAATCTGTACTGTCCAACTCTCTCTCTTTTATATATCTCAGCTGTACCAGAAAGAGAAGGTTTAACGAAAGTAGCAGGTTCTGGTTAACTAAAAAAAGATATGAACCAATGGGTAGAAGTTGCAGGGAAGCAGTTTTCAGTTGAATACTAGAGCCATTTTACAATTCAAGCTAATTTGAAGGGGGAAAGGCCAGACTGATTTAGGTGATAGGCTCTTAATTCAACATATTTGAATAATTGAATGACCAAATATGCTGTCAAAGATGCTGTAGCTCCATCTTGCATTAAGCAAAGTATTGAAATAGGTAACATGCAAGTAAGTCCATTACCTGAACTTGAAAAATATGAGTTTTTCAAAAAGTTTCCACTTTTAAAAACTCTAAAAAATTTCAAATACACATTTCATCACTTTTTTACACAGTCACCTTTCTTTGTGATGCTTTTTCCCCAGTGCCATTTGCTTAAGCACATAGCCATTGGTGGTTCCAGGCTTCTTTCTTCATTCCTCGTGTTTGTGGACATCCAGAGCGGTCAATATCAGTCACACTTGTACGACCATTTTCAAACATTTCATTCCACCCATAGATTACTCTAACAGAGAGAACTTTATCCCCATACTGAGCGCACACGTAAAGATGAATTTGAGCTCCTGGCTCACCTTCTGCCCACAAAAAGTATATGACAGAATGCTGTTCCTCTTTAGTGCAATTGGTAAGTTTCAAAGCCATCTTTACCACAGCGTGACAACTCTTATATTAAACTACAAGGTCAACTGACTTGCCAAGCAAACTAGTCACATGACATTCTCTGACACAACCAATTACTGTTACTCCCACCCTCACTGTTTCTAATGAAAATATAAAAGGGCAGAAACTTTTGGAAGACCCTTCATAGATTCTAGACATCAGGATTGCTACAACAACCAGTCTCCTACTTTACATACTCCATCTGTCCTGAGAGAAACTTCCATTTTTCATTTGAGCAGTTAAATGTTTTCTGTCCAACTGTAAGAAAGGAGTTATAACAGTAGCAAATATTTCCCTGAACACATTACATTACTAACCTATATGTGAGAACGATGTGTCTTCACTACTGCTGTGTGTTGACTGATTTTATATCCGTTACATATTCATGAACACTACATGAAATTCATGAGATGTTATGTATCAAAGATAAGGATGCATCACTGACTAACATTTTTCCTGTGATAGGAAAGATCACAGTGATAACTCCAACATATCTACAACCCTTTCTCCTACACATAGGATCTACATGAACTTTGCCTCCTGCAAACAACAGCACTCATTTCAATATTGCTAGGATACTTGAGGAGCTCTCGCAGAAAGCATTTCATAATCAAATTGCCTTGAGCTTAAAAGTCACCTTTCTTATTCTTATGTTTATTTTACTGACCTGGTAAAGTGGTGGAACTATTTTCTACTAGAAGTTTCTGCAGAATCTGCAGAAACTGGTTTCGAAGTAGATCACAGACATAAATATCCTCATTGAGTTTCAGGAATGTCTTCAATGTAATCAAGACTTTGTGAACCACTTCACTAGTGCTAAAGTAAATAAGATCCTGAGAGAGAAGGCAAGTTAGGCTTTAAGTGAATATTTCTCCTGCTCACCATTGTTATTCTAAAAGCACATTTTCTTCATATTGTTGGCATTTTTTAATTTGTGTATATACATGTGCATGATTTTCCACATCAGCAGCAACTTTTAAACATACTGCAAGGTGAGAGGCACCTTGTTCTAAAAGTTTGCAATACAGATGTGGAAAGCTGTCATAACCTGTAGTCACTATTTTTGTTCCTCCCTTTATCTTTTTGAGAATAAAGAAGCAGACACCTTTCTCCCAGCAGAAGGGGTGGATGCTTCTTCATTCACTGCTCTCTCCTCAGCACTTCAGAAATCCCTCATTTGATGGCTTCAAAGATGGGTCTTGTGGGACATTAATAGCTGTTAGACCAACTATATGCATAAATATGACATCATAAATACGAAGCACAATCCATACATTATTTATTAGTACAGCCATGCATTCATTCTGGAAATGAATCTTTATCTGGTCAAAGATTTCCCTTCAGTTGTCTCGCATTTATTACAACACACATACCAGTAGCATAAGTAAAGCACTGTGATTGCCCTTCAGCATGGAAAGAAAACTATTTAGGTTGTGGAAGGATTGTAAAAAAACAGCTGGATCACTTATAACTGCTTCTTCAGATTCAATCTGACTGTAGTCTTCACAGGAAAACCAGAGCTGGAGAATGCAGTGACCAAATCTTTTCATAAGCTCAGGATAGCGCAGAAAGAATTTAAGCATCAGAGGATGATGGACATATACTAGACTCAAGTCAGCTATAACATCCAGGATCCTCCTTACAGCAGCAAGTGAAGCCTAGATTTGGAGGGAAAGAAAATGAAAGGCAACATGAAAATTTAAACCCCTTTTGGCACTGGTTTCTCTTTAAACCCAATAATACGCTGGTGCAGCTTTAGAGTAATTATCAACAACGGCAGCAGCATTTCAAGGCTTTATTCAGCTACACAACAAGAATAATAATGGAAAAACTATATGACTTCTATAGCTTACAAATAGTCATTAAAATATTCCATCACTTTCACTAAGTTCCTAACTGCCTGTCATGCTAAAAAAAGGTGTCGAAAAGCTTTAGACAGAAAAAACAATGGTAAACAACTTTCTACATCACTTCTCAATTCAATAACCTCTTTCCAGACAACTGTTGTTTTTCTTCTCATACAATAATTATGCTGCTACTGGCTTGTTGCTAGGATTCAAAACTTTCCTCACATTATTCTGCAACAGAAATAGCATTTTACCAGTGCTTAAATTCTAATATTATATCCCTTAGAAAATGCAACACTCTTTTTACCTACATGGTTTCTATTGTAATAGTTTTGTGCTCACAATAAAGGTAAAGGACAAAGGCCCAAACAATAAAGTGAAATGTACTTTCTACCTAGTACGTTGATATCACCAGTGGCAAGTTACATGATCTTCTCTCCAATTCATTTCAGTATCATTCTGCAAATGTTTTGTTGTTGTATTTTGCTTTTGTGTTTTTGGTTCCCATGAACTCTTAACTTTGCTACTCTGGCTCTGGACCAAACATTCAACATTTGTGCTTCCAGTTCACTATTTGTCATTTTTACTGAGAGCTTTCCCATTGCTTAGGTGACCACAACAGCACTGTTTTAAATGAAAATCCAAGATTATTCGTTTAAAATGTTTACAGAATGATAACTTTAAGGAGAATGATGGCTATTGCCCCAAAGTGAGACCATTTTCTCATAAACAGGAATGAGAAATGCACTTCCAGAAATATTTGTGTGCTAATGGATATAACCTGGCTATAAGCACCAAGGGAAATGAAAACCAACTTTTAATTGTTTAAAAAGACTCAACAATAACAAAGCCTTGAGAAAAAGCTTAAGACCTTATCCTAAAAACAGTAATTAACACAACATTTACCACATCTAAAGTTTCATTCTTGTCCTGACAACTTGCTAGAAGGTACAAAACAGCTTTGAAGACATATGGGGGAGGACAGTCTCCCTGGTCCTGTACTGACAGCAGGAAACTTCTTATTGCTGAGAACAGCTCCACTTCTGGAACAAACCTAAGAGCAACAGTAGGTTTTTTTAAAGTTAAGCTGCCTTATTTCAGCTACTGGTTTTCTGTCAACACACCATTTTTTTTCCTGTTCGTGCCACTTCACTAACCTGTCTTCTTGACTAAAAGCAACGTAGAAAAGAAGTAGGAGGCTATACTGATGATTGCGAAGTGTTTCATCTAGACTGCAGGAATCTGTGGTTTCAGATAAGAGGCTTAGGCTTTCCAGTACACTGAAGTTTAACTCAGGCAGACTCCTCTGAAGAAGTTCAGATATTTCTTGATCTAGGATAAAAAGCAGCCAATAAACAACACAAATGATATATTTACATGTGCACAAAAACAGCCAAACACTTGTTTACATATAGTTTTTCCATTTCTAAACTATTGTTAGTTTTGACTTTATATATTCTTCAAGACACACTGAAGTGTCTTTTTTGTGGTGCAAAAGCAGTCCCCTTACACATTATTTCTTCCACTGGTATCAAATGTTTTGTTAAAGAAGAGATGCCCAAGAATATGTTTGGTTTGCCAACTGAAGTATATCTGTATAGTGATTCATGCAACACCTGAAGCCGAAAAATAGCTCAAGCAGAAGGTGCAATAATTTTGATCTTCAACACAGTGGAAAGAATCAAACTGATATTAGCATAGGAAGTCCATGCATAGACCTTATTTTCCCCAGACTACCATGCTGCATCTTTTCATCCCAAACCCTTAGATGCATACTGCACAATGCACACAGACATCAATTGCTTAATCAAACTTGCCTTCTTGTGAGGAATCCACCATCTTTTCCAAGGAGGAATGGAAACTGAGGCACATGCTGTGTAGAAAGCTTGAACAAGCTTGATTCAAAGCAGGATTACTTGAAGGAGAAAAACATTGAAAAGGAAAACTTGACAATATATTATTTGCTGTTATGTTTCACTATTTTACTCTACAAGTCCTAAGGCAATAAGAATTTTATGACCTCAAGTATTTTATTTGGCATTTCTTGAGCATCCAAAACTAACTTGGTGCTTTATGAAAATTATAAACATTTTGTGATATTAAAACAGGAGGAAAACAATAAAGTGCACCAGGATTTCTAGCAATCAACCCAAGAAATGTGAAAATAAACTTTTAAAGAGAGCAGAGAACAGTATTTAGTTTTCATATCTCATTCATACCTTTGACCTGTGCAGAATTTGGCCTTCAGTTCCAGGTTTAGTCTGATGAAATAGCATGTTGCTGGAGAGAAAGATAACTCTGTTCATTCAAAATCTATTAGGATACTCCATAAACTGAAGCACAGCCAGACAAATTTGAGAGGAATAAACACAATGACACTTGAAAGGTGTATGGTAAAATTACATTTGTAACAGTTCATCCAGACTGGCTAAATGAGACGGGATATAGCATTTTCACTGCTGCAAAGACTTTTATTTTCAAGATTCAAACCATATTGCTTTTGTCCTAGTGTAGCCTCAAACATTTCTCTTCAATCATTAAACCTTTTTACTCCTTAATTAAATGCAACACTTACTGTGCCTCAATCCTGTTTTAATTCCATATCCAAATTTGCAGCTATTACTGCCATTCATTTCATTTTAAGGCAGTGTGTTATGACATGTGCTATCGGTGCTAACTTTTCATGCTTTTGCACCCACGGCCTGTCTCAGCACCATCACCAAATATGTCTCCAGGGACAATGGTCATCCCTCTGCAAACAGAACTGTTTGGTTTTATTTTATTATTTCTCCTAGTATCACTTTGGATTGTCATTTCTATAAAATGCTAGATGATGTCACCGATTTCTCCGCATGCAAGATTAATCCCTCCTACAGACATACATGAACACACACTCCCTGGGGAAAATGAGGCATTAGATGAGACTGACAACAGGAAAAAAGCATATGGAGGAATATGGTCTCTTATGTGGAAACCAAGGTATATCACCCAACAATTTATAGGCATTCTGCAAAAAAAAAAAAAAGAAGGTTTTTTTCAATTTTCCTCATACATTTTGTTCTTTTTCAGATTGTAGACTTCCAATGAGGTTTATAGAAGGAATTTAGGAACAGTCCAGTCTCTGAAAATATAGGTAACTGAATAATGTGGCAGAGATTAATGCTAGATAATCCATCTCTTTTAAGGTTCTCTTTTTACATGATTGATGTATCAGCAGGCAAGCCTACTATTATGCAAATATACTTTAGCACAGGAGGACCCAGTGGCACAGTGGATTAAACCGCTGAGCTGAACTTGCTGACCAAAAGGTCGGCAGTTAAATCCAGGGACCGGGGTGAGCTCCCACTGTTAGCCCCAGCTTCTGCCAACCTAGTGGTTTGAAAACATGAAAATACAAGTAGATCAATAGTTACCCCTCCAGTGGGAAGGTAACAGCCCTCCATGCAGTCATGCCAGCCACATGACCTTGGAAGCGTCCATGGACAATGCCATTCTTCAGCTTAGGAATGGAGATGAGTACCACCCCCCAGAGTTGGACTCGACTAGACTCAATGTCAAGGGGAAACCTTTACCTTTAATTATTCAAAATTTGTGTTTAGAAACATTTCAAAAATAGAGACATTCTATTTTTGAAGGGTAGTCAGTGGGGTATAAATGATGATGATAATAATGATGATGATGATGATTTAAGGGTCAGAAAAATTCTCAAAAGCAAGCTCAATGGAGGCAATACCATCAAGGCCATAAACACCTGGGCCATACCTGGCATAAGATATACTTCTGGCATCAAAAACTGGATGTAGGCAGAATTTGACAATTTGGACAGAAAAACAAGAAAACTCGTGACCATTCATCATTCATTACATCCTCGCAGTTATGTTGATTGGCTCTATCTGCCTAGAAATTCTGGTGGTAGAGGACTTTTACAAGTAAAACAAGCAGTCAAAGAAGAAAAACACACCCTGGCAGAATATGTAAAGGAAAACCAAGAACCTGCTTTAATTGAAGTCAATAATCAGAAACTTCTCAAAGCAAAGCAGACAAAGAATCAGTACAAGATAACTGCACTCCAAACCAGAGCTGACAGCTGGCACAACAAAGCATTGCATGGGCATTTCCTTGACAAAATTGAAGGAAAAGTTGATGAGGAGAAGACCTGCTTATGGCTCATGAATGGAACCCTGAAGAAGGAGACAGAAGGCCTGGTTCTTGCAGCCCAGGAGCAAGCCATCAGAATAAATGCCATTAAGGCCAGGTCCGAAAAATCAGCTGATGACCCAAAATGCAGACTGTGCTAGGAAGCTGATGAAACCATTGATCATATCCTCAGCTGCTGCAAGAAAATCGCACAGACGGACTACAAACAGAGGCACAACTCTGTGGCCCAAATGATTCACTGGAACTTATGTCACAAGGACCACCTGCCAGTAGTAAAGAGCTGATGGGATCATAAACCTGCAAAGGTAGTGGAAAATGAACACGCAAAAATACTGTGGGACTTTCGAATCCAAACTGACAAAGTTTTGGAAGACAATATGCCAGACATCACGATTGTGGAAAAGAAAAAAAGTTTGGATTATTAATATCGCCATATCGGGTGACAGTCGCATTGAGGAAAAACAACCAGAAAAACTCAGCTGTTACCAGGACCTCAAAATCGAACTGCAAAGGCTCTGGCATAAACCAGTACAGGTGGTCCCAGTGGTCATTGGTGCAGTGGGTGCTGTACCAAAAGATCTCAGCCGGCATTTGGAAAAAATAAACATTGACAAAATCACGATCTGTCAACTGCAAAAGGCCACCTTATTTGGAACTGCACGCATCATTCAAAAATACATCATACAGTCCTAGACGCTTGGGAAGTGTTCGACTTGTGATTTTGTGATACGAAATCCAGCATATATATTTCGTTTGATGTGTCATACTGTGGTTTTGTGTCAGTAAAATAATAATGTAAAATCTCTCAAAGTTAGCATAATATTTAGCACTTTTAATCTTTCAATCAGTTGAAACGAATTCGTTGAATTCGTTATCTTTCAATCCTCCACATGAAAAGTGAATTGTAGTTCTGCCTGCAGCTGACAGTAGAAGACATATAAAAGATTATCTCCTCTTAAAGAGATCTTGTCTTTACTGTGATTGCCAAACTTCCTGTCTTATTACTACTGAGCAGACATACATTCTACAGCTTAGTCATATTCATGTGAAAGCAGTTTAGATAAAATTCCTTACCTAATTTAATGGAGAAGTTCTTACAAATATGCGGCATAATATTGAATAGGATGCTGAGGGTTGAAATGAAGACTTCCATAAGAGCTGGACGGACAGCTCTTTCAGAATATTTCTGCAGAAAAGAAAAGAAACAAGAATGCTGTTCCCGTTGCAGAAAGAAATATGAGTTCCAAAGATGAATTAAGAATCTTTTAAATGGGCCTAACAAGTCTATGACTCCAAGTCAAAAGTTTTGTAAAAAGCTTAACAAGGATCAAGATGAACAATAAATTCTTCCAACAGCAATAACTGAATATTTAGATGATTGTCATTATTTAACACATATCAAATAATTAGAACAAGGAACAGTGCAGAAGGACATGGAGCCATGATTCATCTCTACTATTTAAACTACAGTATATCACAATTTCTTTTGACGAAGTCAGAGATTAAATCTTCTGTACTAGCCACAGACTATTGCGACCATAAGAAATTCCTTGCTTTACTATAAGTATACACAACCCACTTGATTACAGGGATAGTGAAAAACAGCCCTACCATCACTATGGGAATGCAAAGAGAGTCAGACATCCTCATTAGAAACTCAGAAAAGCTTTTCAGTGTATCCTTTTTCTCAGAATTGGGAGCAGTGAAAGCATTCTCCTGAGCCACAGGATCATTCTGGCATTCTACAGCTAAGCTAGAAAAAAAAGATACACAAAGCTTAAATAAAAGTTGTAGTACATGATCATTCTCTAGCACCAATTAATTTGAAAGGTCTCTGATGCACCTGGATTGTTAAATTAGAATATGGAAGACAAAGCTTTAACTTATTTTCAGTCATATAATGCAATGGCCTTAAATAGTTTCCATCTCCCAGTTTTCAAAATTTGTTTCCTATGTAAGTGAAGAGAGGGTAGACCAGAACCATAGTTATTCTATCCCAGACTTTGCATGTTAAGATGAAAGTGTCAGAGCTCTAAGTATACATTAGGCTTGTATATTTCAGCTGAATCTCGAACTACTCTCATTACACCATGCCTTCTTAAATATCCAGGGTGCACTGGAAACATTTATACTACCCTATGGCTCTCGGACTCTAGCACTACAATAACTTACAGTGTTGCTAGGTTCTGCACTGCAGAGCTTAAAATTCGATGGATGATGATCAACCCCATAGGGCAGCACCCTGACGGAAGAGTGGCTGGAGCAACCTCTTGCAGCTAAGGTGCTGCTGGATTTGTAATGTGTCCCTCCCTTCTAGTGCTCCCCTAGTGTTTTACCCCTCTTATTAGAACCCCCCCCCCCCGTTCCATACCTGCTATGTTAACTGTGTCTTTAAACTAGGAGTATATACTATAAATGTACTTTTAATGTTATTTGATACATGCCCTGCCAGCCATTAAAATTCAATCTCACATGGATGGTTATGACATTGCACTGAGAAAATTACATATTTTAGTATTACACAAATTATAAATACATATCAGAAATGCATGGCTCTGATCTCACATAAGCATATTTTTAAAAGTCAAGTGAACAGCTATTGCACTCATAAACGCAGTCACACATGCCTCTTTGAGCAAGATACTCAAGTGCAGATGGATGGTTAGTTCATTTGTACTACAAACCCAGACAAACGTGAACAAACTCTGCAGGAAGCCTTCTAAGTGCTCCAAAGGTCAAAAAGGTTGAGCAAAAATCTTTCTCACCTACAAGCATTTCTGAAGCTTTCTAAGGCACTCTGCAGAAACTGCCCCTGCTGTGAAATTGCTTTGTTCTGATGTCTGCCCCGCAGCTGACCCTATGAATATTGAGACAAGAGAATAGCTATGTTAAGTATCTTTTGTGTCAGTCCATGAAAATTTTGTGTCTAGATTAACAGTTCTATTCAAAATGTATTCATTTTGAAATAATTTTGATCATTTGCACAATTAATTTATATTTTCTACCTACTACTTCTTTACTACTGTTAGGAACTATTATGATTCCAGTTTGGAGGTCTCAAGACCACTTTTCTTCTACTAATGTGAAGGACATTTCTGTCAAATCTTCTTGTAAGTCTTCTATTTTCCTATGAGAATGGCAATAATGGACATGCCGCCACACTGTTGAGGAACTCACATACAAAATCCTACTGTCAGATGTACTTGGTCTCATCAAGACAAAAGGAATCACACGAACTTCTCAAATCTGCCTGTAGTGGATCAAAGCTTTCACAGTTTTTGAATTCCTGTCAAACGTCATGTTCAGGTCACAACAGAGAACACTTTAGTTCTTTTGTCAGAACAAGCAGGAGACACCCACTGCCAGACTCATCTGGATCTCACTATGACGTTCTAGGATTGGTGCATTCTGAAGGACATCATTCTCCTCTCAGTTTACCTTCCAGTGAAGAAAAAAATTCTGGTCCACGTTCTCAGTACATCACAAACTCAGTCTCATAAGTGCTACTTCGTTTGGGCCCTCCTCATCTGTCCCCTAGGAGATATGTTTCAACTAGTATAGTCCTCCTCTTTACACTTTTCCTCCTTTTCCACTCATCACCAGTGTCCTGGTAAAGGCATACCGAATTTTGATGACACCTTGATGACCTCATTAATCATGGTTCACTATATTCCTGGACCTGTCTCGTTGCTTTCACAGACTTTGGCTTTGCTAGGATCTCCTAAGCTAAACCAAGGATCAAATTCAACATCATATCATTGCCTCCCCCCCCCCCCCCCCCCCCCCATCTTAATACTTGGAGGATATTATCCCAGTCATTCACCATCCTTTTCTCTGCAAATAAATAGTCAGCCAGGAAGTCATATTGCTGCAAGTGAAAGCATTTCCTCTCCATTGAGTTATATTCATATGGACTGTTACTAGATTTCCATTAACCACATTCTTCAGTTCCTATCCTTAATTACTGTCAAAGCTTCAACCTCCAAATATAAGTAGATCATAAATAGTCCGAGTCGAGCCAATAAGTCCAAGAAATGCCAAACAATCACAGAAATACATAAGAGTGAAATCCAAATGTCTGTTCCAGGGTCAAGAGCCAATTACCAGAAATGTCCAAGACACAAGGTTGAGACAAAGTCCAAAGCTGATATCCAATGGTATTCCAAGTTTCAGGGAGCACAAGAGATCAAGAGTCTTGGGTCAAGCACTGACGTTGCAGCTACCAGCCAGGTAACAATCTTCAGTCCCTTAAACCCTAAATACACAGGTGTTACCTGTTGCTGGCTCTGTTCTCTGCTAACTTCAATGACCTTAAGAGCAGATACCTTTCTTTTCTTAAATGCACAACAGCAGGAATAGTTAATTTCTCTTCAACCTGCTCAGAAGAAGTCTCTTACATTTGGTAATCATGCTGAGTAGTCAATCCTTTCATGGATGTTACTTCAGGGCATAGCTGAAGGAGCTGCTGATTATTCAGCTTACCTTTAGCTACAAGACTATCCTTCTTGTGAGAAATACTTAGAAAAAGGTCAACAAGAGATGAAGAAAGATATTCAACAGATGGCAGGCACAAGGAATTTTGAAGCCAGAGAAATAGCAAAAACAGGAAATAAAAATAACTTGAAATAATGACAACATCTACAGACCCTGGATAAGGAAGATGGCCAACAACAGCAACAGACCACTCCACATAATGAAGAACTGGGTGATCATTTACTATCACAAGAATAGGAACCTAAAGATACTTTCTTTAGATATAAATGGATTAAATTCTCCAAACAAGAGGAGCGTTTTTCATTACTTGTGATAACTAGAAACAAGAAGAAATTCCCATTCAAGATTTATGGATTACAAAAATCATGGATCTGGCAAAATTGACTAATTGGCTAGGCTAATACAATCACAAGACCCTCCCAAATATGAAGAAATGCTATACTGTAATAATCTGGTTTTAGTTATAAATAATTTGTAATATTTAGTGACAGCCTTTTATTGACCTTTCAAAAGAAGAAAATAAAAACATGGGGTATTACATGATATTAAGAGATAATCACTATTATAGATATGTAAGATTAATATGAAAGCAGAAAAGGAGAAGAGTTAGTGACAAGAATAGCAGAATCCCCAATGATAACCTAGGAATTCTGAAAAGTTGATCTACCAAAAGTAAGAAGATACAAGACAAAACAGATATTTTGATTATGAAGAAGACAGCAATGTTAGGGCAGGAAGTATTAGATGGGGCTTTCTGTTTTCTATTTCTTAACTTTCCTATCTTCTATATTTCTACATACTCTATATACTCTCTTTTCTATTCTTTTTTAAACTAGATAAGAAATGCTTTTTCTTTTTATCATTTTTTTAACATCATAGTAAACTTTTTTGTATTAGATGACAATGGAAAAAGCTGATAAAAAATATCTACTCTATCTATTCCTCCTTATTTCTTATATTTTATCAATAAACATTATATATTCTTTAAAAACTATTCTTAGTTCATGCACCCGTTGGTTAAACATTTCAAGGGCTTTGTGAATTCTTCCCTTATCAACTTCCCATTGCTACAGCCTAGGATTTGTGGTTGGTTCTCTCCCAATGAAAGATGTATTTTTGAATCACTTGCCTCCTGTGATTTGTGACTCTTTGCTTGGAAAACTGTGTTCCTTTTTGCTATCAGCTCTGCTAAGAGGGCAAGTGAGTTGGTCAGTTTGTTTGTGAATTTCCCATTTCTTCAGTTTCACAAGGATAATGTTAGTCTTTTCACAAATGTCACTTTCCTTTCAAAAGGAATTTTGTCCTTTCATTTGTTTCAGCAACTCTCACATCTGACCATCTTTACAAGCCGGCAACTGATGATGAACATTCTTGGAACACTATGGATATCAGGCATTCACTTGTATTCTACATCAATTGTACAAGATAATTCGGAAACTCTTATCTTTTGCTTGTTATGGAACTCATAAGCAAGGTTGCCAAGCTTCCTCACTGTGGAATTCTAAGTGGGTGTCTGCTACCATCTGCCTACCAGACTGCCAGGAAGCCAAAGCCCTCTTCTATCTGTTCTTATTCCACTAGGGCTGTATCTGCATTCTTGGCTCACGTCCCCACACAAACCATCTGTCAAGCAGCTATTTGGGTTCAGCCACTGACTTTCTTAAAACATTAGAGACTTGATGTTCAAGCCAGAAATTCTACTTCACCTGTAAACTCACACAACCTACCTGTCTCCCCTCTCTCTAATATTTAGCTGCCTTGGTCACTAGCCACTCTAACAAACATAGAACTGAGGAGGTTTGAGCAGGAACCAAACTGTGCATGGGTAGTACAGGGGAACATGGTCCTTCCACCAAAGATCTATCTCTGGATTTTTCCAAAGTTGGTCTGTGCAAGAGCAGAGGATCCCAAAGCTGACTCTCGTATCTGTGAGTTCATAATCACTTGAAAAATGAGTAATCAAGCTATTTCTTCTTACAGTTTCATGACTGACCAATAGAAATCTGTTTATTTGAGTAATTAATTACATAAGATAGTGTTTGTTGGATTTGGAACCAATTTATAATAGCATTTTGTCGTCTGGTATTTAAATATTCCACTTAAATACATCAGCTTCTGATAATAAAACAATCTTCTGTCATCTTACATAAGCTTTTAGTTTTCCAGCTCTGGAAGAGAGTCATTAGATGTTCATGGTCAAATTGTAGGTGTTACACAAAAGGACAAATGAGGGAGAGGTAAAGAACCAATATTTTTGAGCATGTCTTCAATTAGTTATTGCAGATTTTAACTATGTTCATTAGAATTATGGGTTCTTACCTTGTTTAGCATTTTGTTGCTTAATTTTTGAAATAATAATGAAATAATATCAAGAGCTCCAACTTCAATTTCAGTTTAACCCATGCCCTGTTACTGTTATATAATCAGAGATAATATGTGGTTTGAAATCTGTAATTATTATATAATTCAACCATGAAACACCATTTCAGTCACCTTTCTCGATTACAAAATGATTAAAAAATGATACTATATTGGAATTGCTAAGCTTCCTTTCTATCATACTTCCAATTTCTTTTCTGGTTGTAAAACCTGGACAGCAACAAAATCTGACAAGAAGATAAACTTTTGAAATATGATACTGAATGAGAATTTTATGGACACTATGAACTGCCAAAATGACAAACAAATGGTCCCTAGAGCAAATCAAGCATGAACACTCAGTAGAAGCCAAGATGATTAAACTTAGGTTTTCATACTTCAGAAATATCATGAGATGTCATCTGCTAAACTGGAGGCCATTAGGAAAACAGAAAGCCATATTACAGGTGAACAGATTCAATCAAGGAAGCCACTGCCCTTTTCAAGAGCTGATCAGGGTTGTTGATGACAGGGTATTTTAGAGGTCTCTCATTCATAGGGTTGTCAGCCAACTTAATATCAATTAACAACAATATTACATAGCTGTTTTATTTGTCCTGAATCAATTCTCAACTATTAAAGGAGAGTTTCTTGCTAGAAATATTGCTACACCACAGCCGAGGGTGGCCATTAATGATGAGAGTGAATGATCAGAAGGAAAGACTGAGTCCTAATGCCCACTTCCCACTAGGTCCAACATTTCCAAAAGAGCAACATGTTTTTAATGCATCAGAGAGAGAGAGAGAGAGAGAGAGAGAGAGAACCCAGCACTTCAATCCAATCAGAATGAAGAACAGTGAGTTACTAACCATGAATCTTCTATTAAAAGGTGCCAGTGACAGATCATTGCAGCGTTTCAGTACACCTTCAACCAACTTCTGTAGTTCTCCATATTCTATTGGTGGCAAGTTTACATGATCCCTTCTGTGATTAAAAGTGCAATAAACAAACTGTGTGTAAGAAGACATTAAGCCAAAAAAATGGGGGAAAAGAGTGACAGTAACCTGGACATTGACCATCAGGCCACTCTGAAGGTTTTCAATAAAACCATCCAAATCCTGAAGTATCAACAATAAAAGGAGCACGTTGATGCTAGGCATTGTGTGCTCTACACATCATTTACCCAAAGCTTGAAACACTACTTACTTAAAAAAATTAAATCATTCTCATAGTAGGTTGTAGTGTTCCTAAAGCAATCCACTGTTACTATTCAATGGCAATATATGTTACTGCACTTCATGCTTTAAAAAATAATCCAAACAACACCTTTCAAACCACATGATTTTTTGGCCTATTCTCCTTTTCTTTCCACAGTATTACAAATTATTTTGTTTCTACCAGAAAAGTGAATATACAAAAAGAAAATAAATCTAAATTTTAAATTCCTTACCCCTCCCCATTTTCTCAATATTTATGTCCTCTGCCCTATTTATCTCCTGTCCCAACAGACCTTAGTGCTAAAGCAATGAGACTATGGATAAATACTTGTTGTGATGACTAAGACTTGGATGACATATGAGATATTATACTAATATAAAGAAACCGCCAATGGCTGTTGAATGATAACAAAGCAGAAGTGCAATGAAAGGAATGCCAGAATTTAAAGACATAATCGTGTTAGTCTAGATCGGTATGAACTTTTTTCTCCAAGTTAGTCTCAAAGGTGCTACAAGATCCCTTAGCACAATAAAATGAATAATTTTTGTGCATATGTAACATACTCCAAAGGTCATCAAATCTTCATTGCCTACCTCAGAATTGCAGCTACGGCTTTCATAGCTTCACCTGCAACTTCAAGAACTGGAGAATTTACAGCTTCCAGAAGAACATTAATGGCATCTCTAAAGGCAGCATTATTTGCGAATAGTTTTATTTCTACCGGCTGCCTGAAGAGAAGAAATATTTAAAATATTTAAATAGCCGCCTACAGAAAAGACCACATCTAGCTCACTCTGAATATCAGCATATCAACATGACAAATTATAATCACATCAGGACCCTGCCATTGTTTGTCACCTGAAATCACACTATTAAGAACCAACTCTGGTAAGTGAAATATGCCATACAGGAACAGCATGATGACTTTCATTACTAATCAGCTGGCCAACTGTATGTCTACTGATTTCATTAAGTGCTGTTTCAGTATACTTTAGAATCCAAACAGATGGATTACGAATCTACAGTGCTTGTATGTAGTTACTTATAACATTAGCAAAATTATATATATACACACACACACATATACATATACACACACTCACTCACTCACACACACACACATATATATAATTATTACGTAAGTGTTTTGAGCTGTGCCATCATATAAAACATCTGATTCTCTAACAATTATGTGCATAATGTCAAACAGCCACTGTATAACATGTGAAAGTGTCCATAGACTGCTACAAAATATGAGTTCTGTGGCAGTACACATATGTATAGCACTCTCGTGTCAACACCCATGTCAGAACCTACATATTTTTAATAAGGAAAAATGTGTTCCAAAAAAGAGTAAGTACTACAGCTACATATACATATAACTGAGCACATGGATGTGAGTGAAATCTACACACACTATATATATTTTTGCAGTTAATCAGATAATTACAGCAATATTGTTATATCCGTTGCACATTTCACACTGAGGATGGTATCTAGGATCTAACTAGGATCTACATAACAGCCCAAGACCTTGCTCAGTGATGAGATCATGCAGCCTCCACAATTTGTTATTAGACTGCAACTTCTAACATTTCTCAATACTGTATACATTGGAAAGAGCTGGTGGAAAGTGCAGTCTAACTAAACCTTTGGAGGGCACATGATTTCCACCTCTAATTCAGTTGCTTCGTTGCTTAAAAAGAGGTAAGAAACTTTCCTTGCAGAGCTGAACTCTTCATTTCCAAAACGTTCAAGATAGTATTTATTTATTTATTTATTTATTTCTCGCACTTCTACCCCGCCCTTCTCAACCACCGAGGGGGGACTCAGGGCGGCTTACAAGAGGCACAATTCGACGCCAGCACAACAACAGTAGCATTTAAGTATTTGCATGAACCAATTCCACAAACTGCCCCTTTGATGTGGAGAGCAAATGGAAACAACAGTTAACCAAGGTGCATTTTTAATACCAAACATTGATGAGAAATGAAATTTATCTCCTGAACAAACCCTTTTCCTCTCAAACCTCTGGCCTTCATGCTTGTTTTACCACAAATTTCTTCAACTACCTTGATTTTTTAGATTAAAAACTAAAGTCTCTTACTTTTTCAAAATTTCAGTGAACAGGAGAAGTCCCTGCTTTTGTAATTCTGTATTATTAAGAAGCAAGATTTCCTTCAGGCTTTTTAAAATAGGTTCAATCCCTAGAATAAAAACTGAAATGAAATTTTGTAACAAATATATGAAAACCCATTATGGATAATGAAGATCCATATACAGGGCAATATAGAAATAATCGCATTTTGAAAGTAGTCCTGGAAAGTGACATAAAATAGTATCTAAGAATAAAAAAATCCTATTACAGAACTCTGATAGAAGGGGGAAAAAAATCAAATGATGAGTACTTCAACAATACAATGCTTACATTTTGCTGAGGTACTGCTTTTCCAGAATTAACTAGAAGCAAAAATTTAAATGTTGGTAACACTTAGTACTATGTAATAGCTAAAACGTGATACCATATTATCTAGCAAATGGCCAAAATGTTCCTGCTTTATTTACTAAATCTCTGGCAGAAGTTCCCTTACCATGTTAAGGTATCATTTCCTCCTTGGCAATGAAGCCCAATTTATTTATTGCTTTCTGGTTAGCATAACAAGGAAGTTTGGGGTGAATGCCCTTAATTATTCAGACCCTGTTCCTCATGATGGGTCTGGGGAGGAGCAGGACTTTAATTTTGTGTTACTTTCGACCTTTTTTAACAAAAAGGGAGCAATTTTGCTATTAAAATAAAAGGCACCTAAAGTGGTGAAGAAAAAACAGTAATTAAAGACTTCAAACAAAACAAGGAAGCGAAACTTACTAATTAAATGGCAGTGTAACTAATCCCCCACCCATGCTGATCAGGACCCAACAAATTAACTGTACAGAAAATGCTTTTAACTTCAATCACCATAGGCTCTAAATCACGACTCGTAAATTTGGCAACATAAAATGTTGGGATACTGGGAAATAGAATCTGGGGTGATCAAACTAGAATACACTGTTTTAAAGTTTCAGTGGGTCCGGTAAGTGCCACAGTCAATTATGTTCAGAGAAGGGGCTCATCATGCAGTGACAGAATTAGGCATCTGTCTACTCAGACATGGACAATTGGTGAAATATACTTTCCATGTCCAAGCTAATTTCCATTTCACTTCCAGCAAGCAGTCAGAGGCTCCCTAGTTGCAAAGCCATATCTTCCCATGTTGGCCCTGTTCACTTTATTTTTTAAGTTTTACAGGTAAATCATGGAACTCACATGTATTTCTCTGGTTGATTAAGCATTTCCTTACTGCTGCCAAGACTTCCAATGTCAGATTTGCATCATTTGCATGCCCTTGCAGCCCAAAACAAGGTTTGACAATCACAAGTGCATGTCCCCCTTGCAGAATAAATAGGAAAAGGCTGGAAATTGCTGAACACATCTTTATTTTTTATAAATATTTTATGTGTTTGGAGAGACTGTACTTGTGTACGGGGAAAAGCTGAAGTGATTAACTGCACAACTCTGAACTTGATCTGAAATGAAGCTATAAAATGGCAAAGTCTCACGAGAACAATTCAAATATTGGAGCTACACAATTATCCGGGGGGGGGGGGGGGAATTAAAAATGGTTTTATTGGGAAATAACAAGATAGTCAAATCCGTGGGAAAACATAGAACAATTGCAAGTGGAAAACAACGTCTTGTTCTTCCTCCACAAATTCTATGAATAATGCCAGGAGATTACCGCATAAAATCCTTTACTGGAAGCACCCTCTGTAAAAAGTGAATGAACATAAGGTGGCAATTTCAGAGAAAACAACTACTGTTCAGGGACTGAATAATATAACAGCAATTCTGTCAGGCTATGAAAAATGGAGATTTACCATAGACAGTGTAGCACTTGGAAAAGAAAAGCTGTTCCTCAGTCAGGAGCAGTAAGCAGCAATAAATTGACCAGATGAGAATTTCACTCATGCAGAAGAGACACTCAAACAGGAACTCTGCAAGCAAGCAAAAAAATAAATCCATCCTAGCATCATCTGAGCCCAGCAAAACTAATTCCCGAAGAAAAATAGAAAAATTAAAAAACTTTGCAATATATCCTGTTACCTACAAAATTTGGTAGTTTGCTCACAACAGCACTATGAAATTCAAAAAGAAATACAGCTTTCGTCTCCTAATGCTTGGTAAAATACAGATGTTTTGAGAGTAAGATGTGAGAACTCACAATAGAAAAGGTAAAAAAAGGTAAAGGTTGTTCCCTGACATTAAGTCCGGTCATGTCTGACTCTGGGGTGTGGTGCTCATCTCCATTTCTAAACCGAAGAGCCGCCGTTGTCCATAGACACCTCCAAGGTCATGTGGCTGGTATGATTGCATGGAGATCTAGAAACAAATCTAAATTCATGAGGTAAGAAACAGAGGGAAGTACCCCAAAAACATTATTTATAGGAGTTCCAAAAAGGTGCATTCATCCTTCCATCTATAAAATGCAAATCTTACAGGTTCTCTTGCTTTTGGTATTAATGACCAAATTGTAGAGTGGGAAAAGGTGCAGATGAGAACCAAAATAATCAGAGAATCAGCCATTCTCCACAAAGGAAGATTTCAATGTTTAAAACTGCTAAATTGAGGACTGAGGAAGCTTAATACATTATGTATATGGAGACAGTATATATGAGAGAGGTTTCTCCATCTCTCAAAGCACTAAAAGTAGAACTGGCATCAAGCTGGAATTCACTGCCACAAAACAAATGACAGCTACTGAGTCACACAGCTTTATATAGTCATGAAGGATAAGGCTATCAGTGGTGATTGCTCCTGGCAAGTTCATATTACCTTCATTATTAGAGAATAATATATCTCTGAATACCAGCTACAATGAAAAACAAGTGGGAGGTTCTATGGTGTCTGGGTCCTGCTTATTAGCTGCCTGGGGCATCCATTTGGTGACCAGGTAAACAGAATACTAGAGATGTGCTGTATGTAAAAATGACTCTCCTGTTATTAGGAGCTTTGCTCCTATCTCATCCAAGCAAGGGGCATCATATCTGTCTACATTAGCATCTGTTGGATCCAGCATAATTTATACTGGCATATACACTGCAATAGAAATGTTAGTCTAAATAAGTTTTACTTTGTTATCAAAAAAGATGAAAATTAACTCAATTAAACTATTTAAAAAGAGGGGAAAGATGGGAAACATCACAGAAAATAGTATGTAAGTTACAGGTCATGATAGTTAAATACTTCTACACATGAGTCTACTGTATCGTCGAAGATATAAAGGGGGAGGGAGTATCGTTATACAGTACATATTCTTCAGTATAGGGGGCAAGTGAAGTAAAAGAAAAAGAAGTTCCAACTATGATATATTTTCTAACAAGAATAACAAATTATCCATCAGGATCTGAGCTGATTTCTTTTATCTTTTTATATCGTCCCTTTTCTTTTCTTTTTTCCAATTCTGCATAGTATTTCTTCTCCTTATTTTATCCATTAACTAATTCAAACTCTATTTTTTCTACCCTTGATGACACTCAACTATATACAGATCTTAAAGTTAATTTCTTTTGTTAGTAGAATAGTAATATACATGTAATTATTTATTATAATCATTATCAAATTCTTTCCTGGTGTTTCGGTATTTGCTTGTATAAATGTCTCAATAAAAACGTTCCTGGTTTCAGTGTTATGGTACTTTGTTTTTATAATGTTGTCATTATCACTATGCACTCTTATACGGAAGGCTTTTAGCCTTTGGGCAAGTCTACCATATATGATAAAAAGTTCCAGTCATTTGTTTACATTTCCAGCATAAATTCAATTTTTAATTTGTCTTCGAGCATTTTCTGGAGTTATGTACCATCTGTAGATCATTTTGTAAATATTTTCTTTATCAGAGAAAAAGAAATTGTAAATTGTAATCTTTTATTGCAAAGTTCCTTCCATTCTTCTAAATTTAGTGCTTACCCTATGTTTTTTCCCATTGGACCATGAGGTCATTTATTTATTTATTTACTGCATTTTTATCCCAATCTTCTCATCCCGAAGGGGACACAGGGTGGTTCACAATAAAGGCACAATTCAATGCCATGAATACATATATAGAATAAAAGAACATATACTTTAAAATCACATAATTATATCAAACGTAAGACAATTACTTAAAATCATACATCCCAAAGGCGTACTCCAGGAGCCATTCCGGTTGTCACTTGCATTATTTATTATTGCACTGAAAGATCACTACTGCACTAGGAATCATTGTCCAAAGGCTTGGTCCCACAACCATGTCCACCCTTTCTTCCTGAAGGTCAGGAGGGAGGGAGCTGATCTAATTTCCCTGGGGAGGGAGTTCCATAGCTGAGGGGCCACCACCAAGAAGGCCCTATCTCTCATCCCCACCAGTTGCGCCTGGTATATTCCTTCAGAAGTTATTGATGTATTTTCCCAATTTGTTTGTAGTAATAAATTCCATTCATTCTCCGATTGTCGTATGCCTTTTTTTGTCTGAGGAGAGTCTCTGCTGAAGTTGACTTTAGTGGAACAATGTCATTATTGGGTATTCTTATAACCCTTGTAAAGTTTTTAGTTTTTGTAATGTTCCTTTTTCAAGTAGTTGTTTGTCAGATAAAAATTTCCTTCTGGGTGTTCTTAATTGTGAAAAAGCTTCTTGTAGTTTTGTTCAATCCGGTATTTTGTTATAAAGGAATCTTTTGTATTGCTAATTCTTAGTAGGAAATTTCTTATCTTGTGTTTTCTGAAGTTGGGATCTGTTTTTGTTTTATCATAAATTATACAAGCCATCTGTATTTTAGATCTGGTCCTTCTATTGTGTCTTTCATTTTTCTGAGAAATCCATTCTTTAATCCATATGCAGGCTATTGCATTATAATACAGGGTTAGTCAAAATGAATAGGCCAATAAGAAAATTAATTTTAGACGAATGTATGTTTATTGTAACCAAACTACAGCTACGTAGCGACAGATAAACTATCAAAGTTTTGTCTCACCTTCAGAGATGTTCGATATGGGCGCCCCGTGTGACACGGCAGATGTCCAAGCGATAGTCCAGTTCATTCCACATCCGTTGCAGCACATCCGACGTAATGGCATCGAATGCAGCAACGTCTGGGAAGGTGTTCGTTGAGGTCCTAACCCTAACCCTAACCCTAACCCTAACCCTAACCCTATCCCTAACCCTAACCCTATCCCTAACCCTAACCCTAACCCTATCCCTAACCCTAACCCTAACCCTATCCCTAACCCTAACCCTAACCCTCCCTAACCCTAACCCTAACCCTAACCCTAACCCTATCCCTAACCCTAACCCCAACCCTAACCCTTGAAATTTCGCTGGACCGTAATTACTGACATTGTTTTAGCAAATGTCATCACACAAACGCCTTCTCTTTGCTTGATTCCGCCATTTTGAAAACAGCGACCCCTAGCGACGCCTAGCGGCATTAACGTACATGTGTGTTGCTCAAAAAAAACTTTGATAGTTTATCTGTCGCTACGTAGCTGTGGTTTGGTTACAGTAAACATACATTCGTCTAAAATTAATTTTCTTATTGGCCTATTCATTTTGACTAACCCTGTATAATCCCATATTTGGTACCAATCTACCTCTATCCTTTGCGTCTTGTAAATTTTTCATTTTAATTCTAGGTTTTTTTATTTTTCCAAATAAATTTTGTCAATTCTTTATTCCAGTCTTTGAATAGTGCTTCTTTCAACACAATTGGTATTGTTTGAAATAAATACATTTTAGGCTTTACATTCGTTTTGATTGTTGATATTTTTCTCAATAGGTACAAATCTAATTTATTCTATCTTTGTAAGTCTTTTTTTTGTATTTCTTTCCATACTTTTTCATATATATTTTTTAAATGCATCCAAATTATTGTTTGTCAAATGGCTTCCCAGATGCTTTATTTTCTTTGTTTTTTTTCTATTTTTACCTCTTGTATCAGGGTCTCTTAAATCTTTTTGCTCATCTTATATGTCAGAATCTTTGTTTTGTCTCTGTTTACAGATAGGCCCACCACTTTGCCAAATTCCATTTCTAATGCTTTTGGAATATGATTTGCTTGATTTTGGGTCAGAATCACTATATCATCTGCATAAAGTCTTATTTTATAAGTTTATTTTTAAACCTTCCAAGTCAGTACATGTTCTGATCTGTTTTGCTGGCACTTCCACTGCTAAAATAAAAAGTAGCGGGAAAAGACAACATCCTTGCCTTACTCCTTTATGAATTTCTATTTGTGGTGTAAAGTCTTTGTTTATAAGTATTCTTGCAGTTTGTTTTGAATAAATTGCCTTAATACTATTTCTAAAAATTTCGCCACATTCTATCGTCAGTAGTAGTTCATCTATAAAAGTCCAGGAAATATTATCAAAACCTTCACTGCACTAGAAATGTTTAACATCTTAGACATTCAGTTTTAGCAGGAACAGCTCATCCTCACCACTGCAAGGCCTAGCTTTCACAGGCCAAGATCAATTAAAGCAACCCATTTGGCAGGAATATGGCTTAGTGTTTTGTGGTCTAATTACAGAACTGCTCCTTCGTGTACCCACCTCACAACTAAACTAACATTTACTGCTATAGTTGCAGTTATGAAGGTATTACAAGTAGGTGATAATTTTGTTTTGGTATTTTGGGTCAATTCTGACTATATTTTGAATACTTTGACAACAACTGCAAGAAATGAGGTTATTAGTTTGGAATATGGGCCTCAATCTTTGTGGTAATTTTGAATCACAGGTTATGTTTAAGTGAGTGAATGACTCTACCTAGGTTGCTAACTGTGGATCTTATCACATTGGGATAAACTCTGTTTATATCAGTATGCATCTGTAATGTGAGTTAAGGAATGAGGGGTCCCTTAACGAATGTGACGGGGGGGAACCTTCCTTTTCCATCCCACCGCTGCCACCAATGTAATGTAGCCAAGGACCCAGGGGAATAATACTTAACTAATATATTCCCTAGCACACACACCCACACGTTCCTTCAGCTGTTATATTGCCCACAGCTGGCCACCAATCTGAAGGATCAGAGTAAAGGATTTTATTTACTAAGGCTCCAATTGGACATCAACACAATTCTGTCACAAAGTTTGATGTGTGTTGAGGAAACGTGAATGTGCATTGGTAGAATTACTGCCACCACTCAAATGGATTTGAGAAAATTATCTTGATGTTAGGCCTAAGGTAAAGCTTGTTGTTCCCCAGCCCTTCCTTTAACTCCCTTTAAAATGTCTGGGGTAAAAGGATGTTAGAATTTACTGGAACAGATCTAATGGAATGAATCAAGGTGGAGGCTCTATTGAAAGTTGGACTAGAACAAAGTTTATTTATATACCGGAACAAACAACTAAATTCTTCTTTGAGTTACACAAACATATTTGGTTATCACAGCACAATCTTCTCAAACGGTTTCTGGGTCCTAACAAGCTTGCTGGACTCCCCAACTGGGTATCTTTTCTTCAACGTGAGCAAATTCCCTCTGACAGACCAATCCTGTCTGTCCCCTCAGAGTAGCTAGCTTCCCTAGAATACCCTGTCCCTTAGAGAGTAAAAACAACTTGCGTGTTAACACCCACACCAGTTCACAGGTGGCTATCGACTCTCCAGGCCACTCTCTATAGCCACACCTGCCTTCAAACACTCTCCCTCAGGAAAACTTCAGCTCACTCAAAATTCACCCACTACCCTTCAGATCAAAATCCAATCTCCCTCTCTGTCAGAAGCTGCCTGCCTTTTTTACACTCACAGCTCCAGCTCCTCCCATCTGTCCTAGCAAATCCTGGGATAGCTAAGCTCCTCCCCTCTGCTGACCTTGCCTCTCCTAAGATGTCTGCCTCACTGTATTAACCAACATGGAGGCCGGCTTACTGACTTCTAGGCTTCGGCTTCGGCCTACAAAGGTACAAATCATGACAGCATCCCATATTTTTTAGGACTGGGTGCATACTGTATTCAGACAGGATGCAAACTGACCTCCAATCACACCCTATTCTTACACTTTGAAAATACTGTAGTTTGACTCATCATACTACGGAAGGCTGGCTCCTTCCAATCCATTCAAATGCCTCCCTAGTTTTTAATTTTTTTCCTCCTAATATTGTGCAGTGACATAGCATAAACGTCTCGAACTTCTGTTCTTGCAACATTTTAGCTGATGGAATGCATTCTGATTTTATGATTACATGTAAAAACAGCACAACAGAACCATATTAAATAAAAAATTATTAAAATCCCATGTGCCATTTCTGCAGTGTTTTGTAATGGAATTCCAACTTTTACTGAAGGAATTGGACAAATGTCATGTGATAGGACCCATTCGAAATTGCAGTCAAAGAGTCTCAGAAAAGAAGTATATCCAAATGTGATAAGGTCTGATTCTCTTTTCCTTAATATTTGAAGTTGATTAAATTTTTATTGTATAATGAATTAAAGATTATTGCCACAGGTCCTGAACCGGTGCTTGGCCGCTGTGACGGTCTGGATGAGGGCGAACAAATTGAAATTGAATCCAGACAAGACAGAGGTACTCCTGGACAGGGCATAGGGTTACAGCCTGTGTTGGATGGGGCCGCACTCCCCCTGAAGACGCAGGTTCACAGCTTGGGTATGACCCTGAACTCATCGCTGAGCCTGGAACCCCAGGTTTCGGCGGTGACCAGGGGAGCATTTGCACAGCTAAAGCTTGTGCGCCAGCTGCGCCCGTACCTTGGGAAGTCTGACTTGGCCACGGTAGTCCACGCTCTGGTTACATCCCGTTTAGACTACTGCAACGCTCTCTACGTGGGGTTGCCTTTGAAGACAGCTCGGAAGCTCCAACGAGTCCAACGCTCGGCAGCCATGATTTTAACAGGAGCGGAGCGCAGGGAGCATACAACCCCCCTGTTGCGCCAACTCCACTGGCTACCGATCTGCTACCGGGCTGAATTCAAAGTGCTGGCGTTGGCCTTTAAAGCCCTAAACGGTTCCGGCCCAAGCTACCTATTCGACCGCATCTCTGCCTATGAACCCACCAGGACTTTGAGATCTTCCGGGGAGACCCTGCTCTCGATCCCGCCTGCTTCTCAAGCTCGGCTGGCGGGGACGAGAGATAGGGCCTTCTCGGTGGTGGCTCCTCGGCTGTGGAACGCCCTTCCTACGGACATTAGACTAGCACCATCTCTAATGGTATTCCGCAAAAAAGTGAAAACCTGGCTGTTTGAGCAGGCGTTCGAATAATTAGTGCAATGATTGGTTAATGAACACTGGAATGGAACAATGGATGACGAATCTGGAACATGTTTTTGATGGAGACGACAGTGAATGGGTATTGTAGTAACTGTTTATTAATTGTGTAATGTGTTAGGTTGTTAACTGTTTCTATACTGAATTTTTGCTGTTCGTATTTGTTGTGAACCGCTGTGAGTCGCCTTCGGGCTGAGAACAGCGGTATATAAGTAAGATAAATAAATAAATAAATATGGCTTTGAAATAAGATTTCATTATAACTCACAGTAATCTATGACAAACAGCATAATCTATTTATCTTCATTACCTGGAATATCTGCATGAATAAAAGCAGAAGCATATTTTGCTGGAGAGTGTACCAATACAGCAGATATACACTGAGCACTTGCTATCTGTAATATCTCATCTCTTGACAATAGTAACTATGGAGAAAAATAATTATAGTAAGTTACTACATTGAGTTAATTAAGAATCAGACATATATATGCATAATTTAAAATTAAATAAACATCACAGAGTTCAAAATTGAGGCATTGTTATTTCAAGACTGAAAATATCAATAAATATTATAAATGAAATAACTGTATGTGCTGTGTTTTGATAAATCTTAAGAAATATATTCTTATCCAATGTATCATAAAAGTGATCCCATGCACCATGAGGCTTTTTCACCTACTCTTTCCATAATACATTTTAATCACAATAGATTTTAAAATTTATTTTTCTGCAAAAAGTACATTTTTCAAGAGATACAACAAGTTAAATAAATAAATAAAGTAGTATACCGAGAACCAGCTGAGCTCAAAACTAATAACTAATATGGGCTTTTATCCAGCACATACTAAGAGAAAAGATATTTTTTGATAGAAGTTACCTTCTTGAGCATTAGAGGTAATGGATGGTCTTCAAACAACTCAGGACTTGTAGAATCTGCTCCTTTCCTTGAGTAACTCATAATGACAGAAACACAGTTATCATACTTCAGCAGCTGTCTTAACAAGCCTGCAACAAAGGACAGGAGAGGGGATTTATTTATTTTGTGTCAAAAGCATTGCATAAAATTTTGTAAAGCAATTATTTTGGGTTAGAAAGATTAGCTGTTTACAAGAACGTTGCCCAGGAGACACCTGACTGTATTTACTCAGTCTTTGAGGAGGTTCTTTCGAGGAGGAACTATAACTAATAAGAGATTATGAAGCATTTAATAAAGGAAGACAACATTAGGTTCTGAGATGTCTCTTTATGAGCTCCATAGTAATGGTCCTTACCAAAACTTTGCAACATCAATCACTGCTATTATTTCCGTATTATAGACGATTTTGCAGATGCTGGTGGGGAGTTTGACAAGGAGATGGGCATTCCAAAGGTAATCCAGCAAATTCATTGTTTTTTTATCTCACACCTCATGCTTTCACATTTACACTAGCTCTTAACCAACTAATTGTCTGAGACTCTGCAGCTAACTCCCTCCCCACCAAACTTCATTTACAATAAAGAATGTTGAGGCTTTCAAATGTCTACATTTTCATGGGATTGCACCCAGCCTTTTTATTGAAATATTGTTTCTTTTCCACCTATCAGATATCAAATTCAGTCTCACGGAATAGTTCAGAAACTGATTTCATCCATTTCCACTAAATCTCTTTTATTGTAATTCATCTGTTAAAGTTCTAAAATGGTTTGTGCTGGTTGAGCATTACAGTGAATTTGTTTTAATGTTAACATTCCTCTTTCCTTCACTTAATCTTTCTAATCTGTGTCCTGGAAACAACAGCTGTTTTGCTTGGTGGCAGTCATCTTTACTGCTTTCAAGACAACAGAAACACATATGAAAGTATAGAAATACTTCATTTAAAAACATACTGGGTTAATTTCAAATTATCTGAGCAGTGTAAATTTAAAGTCTTGGGAAAGCCAGGAGCATCCAGGAAATATTTTGGGATGAGGAAAATGTCAACTGGAGCTCAAAAATAAAGCTGGTTTGTACAGGAACAAAATTCTAGATACTTTTTCCATCTCGAGGGGACTCTTACCTATACAATTAAGCTGCAGTTCCCTAGTCTGTGCATTCTTTAGAGTAGCCAGAAAAAGGTCACATAGCCTCTCTGTGAAGTGTATACAAAGCCTCTCTGCAGCACTGGGAACAGAATACAGCTTGCCATAAAGATAACATACAGAAGCTTTTATGTCCTCACCGGGGTATGTCAAACCAGTCACCAGATGTTCCATCATGTTACATGCAGAAAGAGTAAGAAAACATTTTTAAAAGAGGTGGCAGTGTGAGAGCAAAAAAGACTGTCACACCACCTTGCATTTCAAACCACATACACTCTTTCCACAAGAATGCCAATCTCCTCAGAAAGTATATCAGTTTTCAACATTGAGCAAGTATTCTGACCAACAATTAACTTAGTCTGTATGGCAAAGAAAACAAAGACACTGTTTTTAATTGGGGGGTTACATCATGTTCACTGCTGCTGTAGAATAATCACAGGATGTCTCAAACCTAAACCTGTTGATAAACTCTACAAGCTAGCTGGCACTGCCACCCCTGATGTACGACAGGAAGTTGCAGCTGTGAGAGAAATAAGGTTGAACACTGTGAAGGCCATCCACTGCATGGCTATCAGCCTCCTCCCAGTAGACTCAAATCAAGAAAAAGCTTCATGAGAACCACCACTCCTCTTAACGTTCACCCAGCAACAGCAAGAGTATCCCTCTGGGCAGCTAAGCCAGGAAATCCCAATTAGATGGGCCCCCACGATGGCCTGCCTCCAGGGGCAAACCAAGAATGGGGAACTTGGAAGTCCCTGAACAGACTCAGAAGTGGAGTGAGCAGATCAAAAGACAATCTGGCAAAATGGCACTACTCAAAAGAATCCTCCACCTTGTGCAACTGTGGAGCAGAACAGATAACTCCGCATTTGTATGCTTGTCTGCAATGTCCTGCCTCATTTACAGAATAATTGTTTGAGGCTTCAGACAATGAGGTCGCTGTTGCCTGTTTTTGGTCAAAAGATATTTAACCGCTTGTGCTCCTATTATTTTTATCAGTTTTATATTAATTTATGCAATGCTTTTGATATGAAATAAATACACGAATAAAATTGCAACTTTTTGTATTCAAAAGCTAAACAATCCAGTGATCTTTTCTTACAAAAACCTCTGCTTCTATATACTTACAAGAACCTCTGCTTCTATATACTGTATAGTGTACAGCTTATTTGCAGGTTATTTTTTCTCACACAGGCAAACTTAAAAGTATCTTCTAAATTGCTAAATAAATTATCAATGTTACAAAAAGAGACTATTGGTAAATTAGTCTTTTAACATGTTTTTACTTGAAATTTAAATAATTATTTCTGCAGTTAGAATCACAAAAAATTATTAAAAACAAAAGTGCAGTTGATCTTTTGAACAGTTTCCAAGAATGCAACTTCAATTGTTTGTTTTAGCCACCTTGTTTCCTGATACAATATTACTGAGGTTCGTCATGAAAAAGAGTTGTATCTCATTTCAGAGGAGTTCTTAATATCATCACTGTACAGTCATAATTCACTTTTAATACTTACTGTGTTCAATCACCAATACATCAGCAAAACTTGGAATGGCATCTGCCAACTTTCCAAGAAGAATAAATATGGGTAAACTCCCTCTTACGGTGGTTATCTTGAATAACTAGGAGGAAGGTGGGTTGAAAAAGCAAATCATCAATAATAAATATTTTAATGAGAAGCCAATAATTCAGGAGACTGACATTTGAAAAAAAAATCACACTTGGTTCTTTGTTTCCCTGAACCTCTAAACTGGGTTTCCTGTTATATTTTCTGCTTCTGTGCTACTAAATATGTTATGAAACTACCCATTCACATATGGATATAGTTAATGCAACTTTCTTGATCACGATATGGATGTACTACGTACAAAAACATTTTACATATAGAACAAATCACAGACAAAAAAGTAACATAAAATAAAAGTGTCATTGCTGGGGGGAAATGTTATAAAGCAGTCAGTGACATTATTCAAGGCCAAATGTATTATTTTAAATTTGCTTATGAGAAGCTGGATCTTGTTCTCTAAGATTCTTGCTTTTATTCATCTAACAGATGAAAATAAACCAAGTTTCCATAAAATCGTACATGTCTATTTATTTTCCTAAATTTCAAACTCTGTACTGTGTTGTCAAAGGTATTATTATCTGTATTAATTTCTTTGTAAGGACGATGTCCCATATCTTCACATTTCATGCAAATATGTCCAGTGAGTTGCCACCTTTCTTCTGGTGTACTACAACTTGTCTGGTTGCTAACGGCAAGAAGAAATGATGCATTTATGTTGTGTATGGATAATTGAGTCTGAGAAAATATTGAAGAAGGCAAGATCTGGGGACTGTTATATATTTAAAATTGTGATCTCACGTATTTCTTGAAGTACCTTTCTCTAAAATACCATAACCACTGAGCAAATCCATTACACGTGGAAACTGGTACTACATTTGTGTCAACTTATAAACACTGTATGTTAATGTCACTTAAATATTTTATCACCCATTTTATGCTCTGTACTATTTACCAGTTTGTGACAATACAGAAGAGTCTGAGAAGAAAAACTGAACTGAACCTTTTAGTTAATTTCAGTTATACCACATTAACACTAAGATAGAACTAGAAAAGAAACCCTCCAGTAAAGTACAAACAATAATTTGGAAATGGTGTAAAAAATACTCTTCCACCTTCTTATCTTGATTCCACATTACATTCCAGATTCCTCAGCTTTAAGTGAGAGTACATAGGAAGGAGCTGGGAATAAGTTACTTACCTTTTTCTGGCATTCATCTAGTAAATAGTGCAAGTAGCGATCCAACTTCAATTCTACTACCAATAGCACCAACACTGAGCATATGGAAAAAAATAGGTATTTTATTTATATGCTGCCTTTCTCCTGGAGTGACTTTATTCTTCATACATTTTTCATATACGTCAGTATGCTTAATCATAATTACAGCTGCCATTATTATATAGAGACTTGACACACTCATCCCCAGAATTGTAATACTTCTAATTCTTAACTGCAAGCTTTTATGTGGAAGAAGTAAGGAAGCAGATGCAGCCATCGTATCAAAAGGCATATGTATTCTTTCTGTTCTCCTCACAAAGATTAGACATAATTTTATACATATTTATACATATTAGCTTAACTACAATATACCATATTTCATATAATATAGATGGGGAGAGGGGGAGATGAAGCAAGGAATTTTAAAAATCTACTTGGTTAAATCAGAAACACAGCTATGAATTATGCTGTCAACAAATCTCTCCCAGAGTCTTCTTTCAACACTTTGATCAAGGCAAAAGTGCTTTTCCCCAGATGTGCCTGGATGATTTGTCACCTATTATAAGCTCTCCATGTACTGGAGCAGGGAATATTTTTAAAACTGGCATCCAGAAACCATATATTAAATATTCTGGTGCTCTTGTAATACCTGTTTTACTTTCTCAGTACCAACTGGGATTTGTTTTTTTGGCTCATAATCATTTCCTAATGATCTTATTCCATCTGTTCCACTGAAAAATAAGCTCATGGAAAACCACAGTGAGTACTGTTTGATTTGGTTAAGAAGAGTGCAGATGGCTGATATGATGCTGGCAAATCAATTTCTTGGTAAGAAATCCTGAGGATTTCACATGTTTCTTGAATAATTCAATTTTCATTTATTTAAGTTTGCATTAGATACCGCTGTCTTAATTGAATTTTCACATAGCTCAGTTTCAAAAACTGGTTGTGCTCTTTTCAGTTCTTCCTATCATCTTGAGCACAGACCTGTGAAATGACTTAACATCCAATCTCCTATCAATCTACAAAATGTCTTCCCAATATTAAAAATCAGAGAAGTATTTGAAAAGGCAGATGGAGATAATCCCACACAACTGCAGAAAACCACATTGGAGGGAGGGCTACACGGAAGGCAATATAATTGTGCAATAAATTATGTAGATATTATTCCAATGTTGAATCATTTGAAGAATGCAACACAGAATGGGAAGGAAAGACTAACAGACTTAGGATGCCTTTACACAATTTTAGATTTGCACTTTTTTTGCGCCTATACATGCTTTAAGAATAGCAAACCTGTGGCTACTTTTGTCTTGTAGGGAGTAGTGCACAGCGCAGTTCACAAAGCTGAATTTATTTTGCTTGCTCTTATGTAAGTGGTGACTAACAAACTCCACTCATTTCAAAGGGTCCACCCTAGTTGGGGCTAGATTTGTATTTAGCCCACTGTTTAATACAAAGAGGAGCAACCTGTGATCTGCCCCTTCAAATACTGTAGCTCCCATCAGCCTGTTAGCCTTGCTAAATGTGGGCTAAATACAAATACAAGAACTGCTGTTCAACAATATCTGAAGGGTTCATGTTGCTCTTAATGGAACTTGCTCCACTAAATACAAGTTACTGCAAATTTAACCACGAAATACATAATTGATTGCCCACTCACTAAAATAAATTCAAGGATTTCACCTTGCACTTACCTTCAATGGATAAATCCAGAGCACTACTGTTTTCCATAGTTTGTAAGAGCTCTGTAAAATAATTTCACAGATAAGAGACGCATGTTTTGGAAAACAACAGCCACTACAATGTTGCTGTTCTCGAAAACAAAGCCATTTCAAAAGATGTAAGGATTGGTGCCATCAATGCGTAATAAATCTGGATTTTGAAAAAAATGGCTTGTTCTGGAAACAAGGATTGATGATAAAGCTTCAGTGGAGACACCTTTTCCCCATGGTAACCCTTCCAGGGGTGATTTTTTTCCCCAGGGTTAGATTTCTCTCACTTTCTGTTGTCTCACCCCCATTCTTAACTATGAGTTGTATGCAAGTCATATGTTTGTAACTCAGGGACTCCCTATATTTAGCTTTTCTTCTTCCAGATAACAATTGCCAGGAGCCAATTAAATTTGGGACCACAAAATGCAAACTCTAAGGCCTCTTCCACACAGCTGAATAAAATCCCACATTATCTGCTTTATTATTATTATTATTATTATTATTATTATTATTATTATTATTACACCCTGCCTCCATCTCCCCGAAGGGACTCGGGGTGGCTTAAATGGGGCCAGGCTCAATAGTACAATTAAAACATAACACATTAAAATCACATCAACAAAATAATAACAGAAGTAATATAACAGAATGAAAACAACAACATCATTAAATAATATATATAAAACCAAATGTCAGGAACCAACAACCAATGGTAAATTCAGTGTCTCATCGTGAGTGGACGGTCTGGTGCCACAATAGAGAATAGAGGTAATGAGTAAAGGTGCATGTATAATATAGCAGCATTAAGGATAAGAAAATTGATCAGTAAAGTTTAGAATATAACAGCAGTAAAGTGCTTAAGGACAGATTTGTGTGTGTGTGCGTGTGCATGTGCATTTGTCATAATTGGGACTAGCTATCCAAGGAATTGCCTAGTCGAAGGTGCAGTGTCCTTTGAACTGGAATATATTGCAGTGTGGATTCAGATAACCTAGTTCAAAGCAGATATTGTGGGATTTTCTGCCTTGATATTCTGGGATATATGGCTGTGTGGAAGGGCCCTGAGTCACAGTAAAAAAAAAATAATCAGCCTACTACACTTTAGTTTAGTGGCTTGACCGTTTGACTATGACTCTGGAGACTAGGATTCAAATCCCCACTGAACAACCCTGGGCAAGTCACATTCTTTCAGGGCCCTTCGACACAACTCTATATCCCAGAATATCAAGGCAGAAAACCCCACAATATCTGCTTTGAACTACAGGCCCTTCCACACAGTCATATACTATCCCAGAATCTCAAGGCAGAAAATCCCACGTTATCTGAGTGTGGACTCAGATAACCCAATACAAAGCAGATATTGAGGGATTTTCTGCTTTGATATTCTGGGATATAGGGCTGTGTGGAAGGGCCCTCAGTCTTAGGAAGGCTAAACCAAGCTCCTCTGAACAAATTGTGCCAAGAAAACCTTGTGATAGGTTCACCTTAGGGTTGCCATACTTCAGAAACTAGAAGACACATGAGGGTCATATCATGCAGAAGCAAACAAATTCAAAATGCAAATGCATTTTTTTAGTAATGGGAAAATGCATTCTCTTATATCATTCTCAGCCTCTTTATCTTTTCCCAGGCTCAAACTCCCATGCTAATGCAAAAAGGATGTAACAAGGTTACAAATACTAATTATTTGTGTTCATGCAACTGGACATCTGTTAATGTTTGCACATAATTTTAACAATGTATTCAAACATTTTAATTTAGCCCTCGTAATGTATAAACTCATCAATTACACAAACTGACACTGCAGAATGAAAATATATTCAGACAGGATAATATTCATTGCCTCTAAATCCGTGAAATTCAGTTTGTATGATTGTCCCTTACCAAACAATGTTGCTAAGAAATGAGCACATACTCTTTCGTCTTGAACAAACAATGGTATAACCAGTGTTGCATGCTGAAACAGAGCATCTTGAAGGCAGGAGAGCACATACTTCTTGCGTACTTGCTAAAGGTTTGAGAAGGAAAATTGAAACCATTAATTATGAAAATAAGAGCTAGCATGGTGTTTAAGTGTTGGACCAGCATTGAGACCAACATCTACATGCCATTTTGGCTATCGGCGATCTTGGGCAAATCTCAGTCTCTCAGCTTCAGAAGTCATTGGAAAACTCTCTCTGAAGTAATCTTGCTGAGAAATCTTTAGGTTTACTTTAGGATTGCCATAAGTAAGAAATTATTTGAAGGCACATAAAACTGCTCATAGCATCATTATATACAATGTCATAATAAAATGCGGTCTATTATATAAAATGGCAAAATCTAGGCTTGCTTTTGAGATTAAAAAAAATGTTTTCAAGATGTGAATGGTTGGATCTGTGGATTCAGAAAAGCCGGCTATGATCTCCAAAATGTTTTCCATAAACCCAGTTTACATGTACAGTACTGTATCACAATATACAGTAGATTCTCAATTAACTGGAACTCGGACAACAGGCAAAAAATACTTTAAATAAATTTTTAAATCAGTTTTTAGTTGAAATGTAAATTTATGTTTATTTGTCTTAAAATGTCTCCATTTCAATATTAAATTACGACAGTTTATGGTACAGTATGGGATATAGCATTAGTTAGGCATATGTTTAATAGTAACTCTCAAGCAACCAGAAACTACATTTATCTAGCATCTACCAATCCCCATGAATGCTGGTTAACTAAGCCCCCTTTTACACTGCCATATAATCCAGATTATCAAAGCAGATAATCCACATTATCCACTTTAAACTGGATTATCTAAGGCCCCTTTTACACTGCCCTATAAGATCCACATTATCTACTTTGAACTAGATTATATGGCAGTGTGGACGCAGATAATCCAAAGCAGATAGTGTGGATTTTATAGGGTGGTGTAGAAGGGGCCTCGAGCTGTATAAAATCCACATTGAACTGGATTATATGGCAGTGTGGACTCAGGATAACCCAGTTCAAACAGACATTGTGGATTATATGCCTTGATATTCTGGATTATATGGCTGTATGGAAGGACCCTGCATCTACACCGCCATATAATCCAGTCTGTTCTTAAATTGAATTTGTATGTAAATTGGAACAGGTGCAATTTTTAAATGTAACTCCAGCCAAAATATGTATATTTTAGCTTTGGATAGCATAGGGAAGGGTTAACACCCCTGTGATGTTTTACTGTCTATGCCTCTGTTCAGAAGATTTCACCTCTTTCTATCCTTATGATAATCGGATTTTGAAAAATCTAGCTTGTGTGGAAACAAGGATTGGTGATAAAGTCTCCGTGGAGGAACCTTTCCTTCCAGGAGTGAATTTCCCTTCCAAGAGGTAGATTTATATCACTTCCAGTTGTCTCACCCTTATTCTTAACTACGAGTCGTTTGTAAATTAGATGTCTGTAACTTACAGACTGCCTGGACATAATTTACAGTAAGTATAGTATAGGGCTGGGGTTCTCAAACTTTTTAAACAGAGGGCCGGGTCACAGTCCCTCAAACTGTTGCAAGGCCGGATTATAATTTGAAAGAAAAATGGAATGAATTCCTATGCAAACTGCACATATCTTATTTGTAGTACAAAAAAACACTTAAAAACAATACAATAATTAAAATGAACAATTTTAAGAAATATAAACTTATTAGTATTTCAATGGGAAGTGTGGATCTGCTTTTGGCTGATGAGATAATATTGTTGTTGTTGATGTGTGCTTTCAAGTAGTTTCAGACTTAGGTTGACCCTGAGCGAGGGCCGGGTAAATTACCTTGGAGGGCCGTATCCGGCCCTCGGGCCTTAATTTGAGGACCCCAGGTATAGGGTATGGTTTTATAGTTATGAGTGATCTTTTATTATTTCCTATGTATTATGATTTGTCTTTTAACAATTTAATTCTTCTGCATTGTTATGTGCCTACTTTTATTTATATTGTGTACCTACTGTAAGCCGGTCCAAGTCCCCGCGGGGAGAGGGGGCAGGATATAAATTAATATAAATTAGTAGTAGAAGTAGTAGTAGTTAGACCAATTATAATATGAAGTCAATAGAGTTGATGGTAAGTACGGTATGGGATATTGTAGTCATTAGGCATATTTTTAATATGACATCAATAGAGTTTATGGTAAGTATAAGTATATGGACAGACCACACCTGGAATACTATATCCAATTCTGAGCACCGCAATTGAAGGGAGATGTTGACAGGTTGAAATGGGTCCAGAGGAGGACGACTAAAATGATCAAGGGTCTGGAGAACAAGCCCCATGAGGAGTAGTTTAAAGAGCTGGGCATATATAGCCTACAGAAGAGAAAGCTGAGGAGACATGATGGCCATATATAATGAGGGAGCAAGATTGTTTTCTGCTGCCCTGGAGACAAGGTAACAGAACAATGGCTTCAAACTACAGGAAAGCAGATCCCACCTGAACATGAGGAAGAACTTCCTGACTGTGAGAGCTGTTCAGCAGTGGAACTCTCTGCCCCTGGACTGTGGTGGAGGCTCCTTCTTCGGAGGCTTTTAAATAGAGGCTGAATGGCAATCTGTTGGGGGTGCTTTGAAAGCGATTTTCCTGATTCTCAGCAGCGGGTTGGACTGGATGGTCCACAAAATCTCTTCCAACTCCATGATTCTATAGTATGGAGCATCCAGGCATGGGCAAACTGTAGCCCTCCAGGTGTTTTGGACTTCAACTTCCACAATTCCTAACAGTCTACTGTTAGGGAATTGAAATCCAAAACATCTGTAGGGCCCAAGTTTGCCCACATCTGGGGCATAGTATAGAAGGAGATGTACTGTTATCCTTGAATAGTACTATATATACTCAAGTGTAAGCCTAGTTTTTCAGCCCTGTTTTTAGGCTGAAAAAGCCCCCCTCGGCTTATACTCAAGGCAAGATTATTTATTTATTATTTTACACTGTTGTTGTTATTATTATTACATTTATTATTTTACTCTATTTATTATTGTTACATTTATAATTTATATTTTTTGAGATATTTGTACCCTGTCCTTTTCAACCCCCCCCGTGGGGGGACGGGACTCAGGGCGGCTTCCAGCCAGCAACAATTCGATGCCTCCAACGTACACATAATAAAATACATAATAAAATATAATTACATATATTTAAAACATTAAATCACATTAATAATTTCACTTTATTGTTTTATTTATTATGTTACTCTATTATTGCATTTATTATTTTACTTTATTATTACTATTATTACATTTATTTTAATCTATTAGTATTAATATTATTATTATTATTATTACATTTATTATTTTACTCTCTTTATTATATTGGAAGGATATGTAAGCACACTTACATTGGAGGTTAGAATAATGGTTGAATCAGAGTTGGACAGCCTTATCTTAAATGGCTGTCTTATGTAACTCTTCAAAAACATTTAATCTACTGATGCCACAATTAATGTAATTGCATTGGTATCTATTTTATTTTGAAATTGACCAGTAGTTGCTGCATTTCCCACCCTCGGCTTATACTCGAGTCAATACATTTTCCCAGTTTCTCTGGTAAAATTAGGTGCCTTGGCTTATATTTGAGTCGGCTTATACTTGGGTATATACGGTAACTTCTTCTGTGAAGCACTGATTTCTCAAACAGTATTAGTTAGGCCTATATGTAATAGTAAGTCTCAAGTGACCAGAAATTATCCGCATCTACCAATCCCTCTCAACTGCTCATTGGAGGGAAGAATATTTAGAGGCAAAGATGAAGTACTTTGGCCACATAATGAGAAAGCTTAGAGAAGACAATTATGCTGGAGAAAATGGAAGGAAAAAGGAAGAGGGGTCGACCAAGGGCAACATGGATGGATGGCATCCTTGAAGTGACTGGCTTGATCTTGAAGGAGCTGAGGTGGTGACGGCTTAGATGACTTAGA